GTGGCATTTTGTAACCGTCCAAAACGCATCCGTACGGAAGGGGTGGTGGCATGGACCACGGGATTCATGCCCTCCCTTTCACTCTCCTTATCTTCTTACAATAATGAAATTGATTAAAATATGAACCATGACACCAAATTTCCCTCCTAGGCCAATTTTTACCAGTTCTTTTTATTTTTATTTTTTTTTGAAAAAACCAGTGTTAATTAGGTATTATTAAATAACATGTTGTTTACGCCGACTTGTATATTGTTCAAATAGATAATACACTTATTACTACTATTAAGAATTTTGGTTTGATTTCTACATTTTTAAATGGTTGAACTTAGAAAAAAAAAACGGTTTACTTTTTCTTTTTGAAGTTCAAACAGAAGGTAAGATATGATGTGCAACTTTTGACTTTAAGGTAAGATCATGAGATCTGAACTTTGCTTACGTTGGCAAATGGCAAACTATTGTCGTTGAAGATGAATTTCAAGGGAAAAAAATGGGAATTGTGTTTCTAAAAATTATTATTGGTTTTTTCTAATACAACAAATTGGGAGTATGGAGACGCAATTACATAGCTGGTTTATATATGCCCATTAACAACCACTAATTTGATTTTACAATTTTTTATTCCTTGAATGGTATATTTTTAGTAATTTTATAAATTTAATGGGTATTAACTATTAATAGCACTAACAGATTATGTCCAAGTTTTTTTTTAATAATGAGTAGGGTGAGATTTGAATCCATGACATTTTAATTAGAAATATGTTTCAATGAGTAGGTGAGTTTGAACTCGTGACATCTTAATTAGAAACATGTTTCAAATTACCATTTAATTAAATTGGAGTTAATTTAAAATTTAAAGAGGCTATTTAACTTTTCATACATTCTATAACAAAAGTTATTCGCCATCTTCCTTCCTTTTTTAGTATGCTGCTGTGGCGTTGCTTTTTTTTTTTAATTGGCAGTTTGCAAGTAAAACAATGGGCTCAAATGGATAATAAAAGGGAGAAGGAATATATCAAAATTATGGATGGGTAATGGAATAATAAGTTAAAAAGTGATTTATTTTCCTAATTCTAATAATAAAGTATAATCTTATACTCCTTTTAAAGAGAGACACTGATTTCTTGAAATATGATCATCAACTAACTATAAATTAAAATACAAATCTAATATAAAATTAGCTTCATCAGAGAGAAATAAGTTGATTTCTTTACCTTGAAAATTATGAGTTTTGCAATTTGTATTACTTTTTTTACTTTAATTAGATTCGGGTTGGTTGCTACATATATTCAATGACACAACTTTTATTAAAATGAATAAGTATTGATAAATTGTTATCTGAATTTTTTTTAGTATAACATGTGGAGGTAGGGGATCTAATTTACAATTTTTTAATTAAAGATACATGTTAATATTATTAAATGGATGTTGAGAAATTTGATAGGAAGTAAAAATTGTAACCCTCAACAAAAATCAATATCCTTGCCGAATTAAGTCTAGAGGTCAAAACTGTTGACCTAATTGTTAAAAGAATATGATTCGGTGTTAAAAGTTGAATTAATACGGAAAATCAAATAATATATATATTATTTGTTACGGTCAAGTCAAACAATAGCTTTCAGGAAATCGTGTAGCGCATGAGAAGACAAAAAGCTCACCAGTTTTGGGAGGTGAAGAGTGGAATGTTCCTCTGGTTTTGGTTTTGATTTTGATTCTCCCGCTGGACAGAACCTGGTTTTGCTCTGTAGTCTGCTCTTCAAATTCCCAAAAGACCAAATTTTAGTACCTTCTCAAGCTTCAACAATCTCCTCCTTCGTCTTGAAGCGGCTTTTACACTTTACAGTAACAAAAAATGCATTCCAATCACTTGCTTCTCGAGGAGCCCATTCGGATGGCTTCCATTTTGGAGCCTTCCAAGGCAGTAAGTACTGTTTTCTTTCGATATTTTGGCGTCAAATGTTTTGGCTTGTTAGCAGATTTGAGCACTATCGACGTCGATCTTTGAATGACTGTCTTTGCTTGCAAATACATATATTCTATGCATTCTTTGCATTTGAGTCGCGTTGATGTCTGTTTCAAAGCTTAATCAACTGGTTTTGTGTTTTGCTACCTACTGTTTCCCAGAGCTCCTTTCCTGCAATGACGAAAATTGTTGGTACGCTGGGTCCTAAGTCCCGATCTGTTGAAGTTATTTCTGCTTGTCTGAAGGCTGGAATGTCGGGTATGGTTGGCTTCCTTTTCGTAACAGTAAATGTTTGCAGGATATTTTTCCTAATTGTTGGTTCAACTTGGTCCAGTGCTGGGAGCTTATTTAACTTCCTTTTTTTTTTTTTTTTTGTGGCAGTTGCTCGGTTCGACCTTTCATGGGGTGACCCGGAATACCATCAAGAGACTTTGGAAAATTTGAGGGCGGCTGTTAAGAGAACCAAGAAGCTTTGTGGTGTATGTTAGATTGTACTCTTTATCTCCTGTAGGCTTTCGTCTATCGCTTGGAGTAAAGTGGGAGCGCTGATGATGATAAAAATATATTTTGTTTTTCAAAATGGATGAATGGGTCTTATATAAAAAAATGGGTGAATGGGTTATGTGCTTTAGAAAGTCAGGTGTTGTTTTATTTGTTTTGTATGCTAGAATATAATTAAATACAGTTTTGAAGATCAATCCTGTATTCTTGTTCTGCTTGGTAATTTTCAGCTGGTACCGTGTGAAACTAATTCTTGTTCCACTATGTATCTTTTATCCTTGCTCGGATCTTCTTCCACATATTTGGATGTAGATTTTATCATTTGAACTTTCCTTGCATTTTCATAGCAACATTATGCAAATCGGTATTCTTTAATGCGTGATTCAATTTCCTATCTGCAAGTGTTATAAAAGAGACTAATAATTCTTCTGCTCTTTTCAGGTTATGCTGGATACAGTGGGTCCTGAGGTGTTGGTTGTAAATAAAAGTGAGAAATCCATCTCTCTTCAGGAAGATGGGTTTGTTGTTTTAACACCCAATCAAGAACTAGAGGCATCTTCTGAACTTCTGCCGATAAATTATGATGAACTTTCAAAGGTTTGGAGATACCATTATGATAACATTTATTCTTGAGAAATTAACGGCTGACAGCAAGTTCCCTTTTATTTTAAGTTTTCTTATTAAGGGGAAATCTATTTGATGCTTATTGAGAAATGAATTTCAAACAAAAAATCCTCGTGTAGAGATGGTAGTTCATCTCATTTATGCACAAGATCCAGATTTTTTAATGCATCTTATGCAGACAATATATATATATATATATATATATATAGGTTAACATTTGACAGACGAATATGAGTTTTCACGAACCATTGATAAGAATTTGTGAATTTAATATTCTTTAATTAATTCCGAAAAGAAATTTTGGCCATGAACAATTGGAAAACGTTGATGTAGTTCTTGGGTGGGGTTCCTTTTTTTGTCTGATATATACAAGCAAGTTTCTTATCTAAAAAAAATATTCTTTAATTAATTCTGAAAAGAAATTTTGCAAAGTAAATTTTTCTATGATGCAAGTGTTTTTTCCTCACTCCCTTGGTTATACAGTGATCTTCTTCCTAATACTAAGCTTGAAAATTGTCTTTTGTAGGTCGTCAAGAAAGGAGACACCATTTTTCTTGGTCAGTACCTCTTCACTGGAAGTGAAACTACTTCTGTCTGGTTGGAGGTAACGGCCATATTGTTGGGATCATCAATAACATTTTCCCCGATTGTTTTCTAGTGAGCATATTCAATAATTTTGGAGTGGATGAGAGTTATCTAGAATGCTTTAATACTTGTTTTTTTAACTTTTTTTTTAATAGGAAATTTTTAAATTCATGCTCAAAGGATCTTTGAGTTTTTAGTAAGAAAAATGTGCTTTCTTTCTTTATCTATATTTCAAGGGTCTAAGGAATCATGTTAAAATCATCAGGTTTCTGAAGTGAAAGGAGATGATGTTGTTTGTGAGATAAAGAACTCTGCCACGTTGGTTGGATCGATGTACACTTTGCATGCCGCTGAAATTCACATAGATCTTCCTACACTTTCTGACAAAGATAAAGAGGTTAAAAAGTTCATTGATTCCCTGTTTGCTATGTACCTTAAGACTCTGATTTCTTCCATTTAGCTTCTTTAACCATATCATTGGTAGCTGATAGTTTTTTACTGGTGATTTTAGGTTATAGCTTCATGGGGAGTAAAAAACAAGATTGACTTCCTCTCTCTGTCGCATACTAGACATGCAGAAGATGTTCGACAAGTATTATTTCTTTGCATCGAGTCTTCACTTTCCACAAATAATTTACCTTGACCATAGTGATTAGATTATGTTGATTATTACAATAGAGTATAATATAATGCTGAATTATATTTTTATGCAGGCTCGGGAATTCCTTTCTAAGCTAGGTGACCTTAACCAAACTCAAATATTTGCAAAGATTGAAAGTGTAGAGGTCAGTCATTGTTAGCTCACTTTTGACTCATATTCTTCGGTAGTAACTTAGTAAGAACGTTTTCTTAATTTATCAACGTAAAATGATGCTAATTTTGCTCACTTAGCATACTTGTGTGTTCCCTTCCTAGGGTTTAACCCATTTTGATGATATACTACAAGAGGCGGATGGCATTATTCTTGCTCGTGGCAATTTGGGGTTAGATCTCCCACCTGAGAAGGTTAGTTTCTCGCATTTAAATTAGCCATGATGTTTTATTTGAACTGTGTTAAAATGAAAGAGTGAAGCTATGCTCATAGTTAGCTTTGCTTTCCATAATGAAGGTAGTGATAGTAAGAAGAGGGTTATAAAAAACCACCCCAATTGGTATACACGGAAGAAACTCCATAGTTACGAGAAAGCTTATCAGTAGAGATGCAAAGGAGGACTTAATACAACAATTTTCCCATAAAATAGGTGGAGTGTTCTACCCCTTGGAATAACCTTCTTAGCCCCACATTCTTCTAAAAAGCTGTAAGAGCATTGAGCCAAATAACTTTTCCATTCTTGATTCTTGAAAGGATGGCCATAAGCAAGGAGAGCCAGTAAAACATTCTTGTTCTTTGATAAAATTATGGTCAAACGAAAATCTGCACCAACTTAGTCCACAAATTTAAGGTGAAAAGACAAATGCCAAAAATATGGCTAGGAGTTTCTTCACCCCTCTCCTGGGCTTATTGATTTTGAGCACCAACTTAGTCCACATAATTTGGTTCGGTTTTCTTTATTTTGGACTTTCCTCTAGGCTTCTCATTCAGAATAATGAAGGTCTACCTTCCCTTTTCCTTGGGCAACCACCTAGAAGAAGGTCAGTATAGAGAAGAATTTCCTTTTCACGTGGAGATGGAAAGGCTACTATATAGAAGGATCTCCTCTAGGTTTCTCACTGTGGGTAACGAAAAAATTGGCATTAGAAATGCGCCCATAGATCCACCTCCTCCATGCAAGTACAAGGCCCTTTACATTTATAATGGTATCAACAGAGTCCTAGTCTAGTTTGTCATTAGCCTTCTCCAAGTCCAAATTCAACACCCCACCCTTCTCCCTTCTCTACAAGCCTCCATGGGCTCATTTGCAATAAGTATGTGATGTAGTGTAATATATAATTTTTTTTTTTTGATATCTGTGAGTGTCCGGGCCAACTTGCGTGCACCTTGACTAATCTTACGGGGCAGCCACCTGACTCTACAATATTTGGTGCCGGAAGATACATAGGAATTAAATTCTTAAGGTAGGTGGCCATCATGGAATTTGAACCCATTCCCTCTCATTTTACTCTAGTCCCTTTGGACCAATGAGCCACCCATGATGGTTGTGTAATATATAATATAATACCTCCAAGGATCTTATCATGTCTAGTGTGGTTCAATTAACATTTTTGGAGCTTCAACTAGTCTTGATTGGAAAAATGTTAACAGAATTGAACTCAGTTTCTTTTGAAATAACAAAATTTGGACTTCATTATTAGATTTTTAACCATGATTTTCCCCCTTTGTTCTGCTTTGGCTCTGGTACTTCTTACATTCTAGCCGACATTTTTCATTGACAAACAACCTAAATCTTGACATATCTACTTTCTCTCTTTCAAAATGCTTTTGGGTTCAAATTATTTTTCAAAACTAGTTAGAAAAGTCAAACATTCGACTAGATGGTTGTTAAGAGACAAGTTTATACGCTGAACATTGAGGAAGTCATTTTGGAATTAGGTATTTTTAGAATAATGGAACTTTCTTGGTTCAGTGATCATTAGTACTTAGCACTCATCAGCAGTGCTATTATGGCCAGCCATGGTGAAGTTAACCATGTCAAATGTGTTGGCCAAAAGGATTGATTAAGCTTGCTTTCTACATTTATACAGGTGTTCCTGTTTCAGAAAGCTGCCCTTTACAGATGCAATATGGCTGGAAAGCCTGCTGTTTTGACTCGTGTGGTTGACAGCATGACTAACAACTTGAGACCTACACGTGCAGAAGCTACTGATGTTGCCAATGCTGTACTTGATGGTGTGTCTTTCAGTAGTTCTATAAATTTCTTTTGTTTAGATACTGAAGATTTAGTGAACTTTTTGAAGTCATGGATCTCTAAATATCACTGAACTTATTAAAGCCATGTATCTCCATGATAACTGATGCTGAAGACGGGGTTGCCTCTTTTGAATTTGGGGCCTATTCCATGTCCCTTTGTCTTATTTTGTTTAGTATAAGTCAATGGTTCTTATATTCTTTCGCATCTCATTTTATTTAGTATAAATGTCTCAGAGCATTTGTTCTCATGTGTGTAGGAAGTGATGCAATTCTTCTTGGGGCTGAGACATTGCGTGGATTATATCCTGTAGAGACCATATCAACTGTTAGTAGAATATGTGCTGAGGTAATCTCTCTCTGTGAGTGTGAGAATGAAATAGCAACAGAGTTTTTAATCTAAGCTCTCTGTGAGCATGAAAAACCATTACACGACATTTTTGGCTAAACTGAAAATGAAAAAATAAGAACATAATTGTTTTTAGAGTTTGAACTTTCTAACAAGGCCGCAATCGTCTTTCTGAAATGGATCTTTGCTTTTAGTATCTTTTTAATTGCTCTTAGTAATCAGATATTTAATGATTAATTGATGATGGCTTGCAGTTAAAATGGGTGATTTATATGGTAGGGAAACTGGATCCTAGTGAATAATTTTTTTCCCTTTATTTTTTATAAATGCAGTCGGAGAAGGTTTTCAATCAAGATTTGTATTTCAAGAAGACAGTCAAATACGTCGGGGAACCAATGACACACTTAGAATCTATTGCCTCATCAGCGGTGTTGCTTCCTATTCCTGCTTTAAGTTTACATAAACCTATATCATTACAATATTCTGTTCTATTTTCTCTCTCTTCCTCTCTCTATTTTTTTGTTTCAATATCTGTTACATTTTAAAACTGGGTTTCTTATACGATAGTTTGACTTTTTTTTAGGTTAGGGCAGCCATTAAGGTGAGGGCTTCAGTTATTATATGCTTTACTTCATCTGGAAGGGCTGCCAGGTGTGTTAAATTAGATGCTTGCATTACATTGTTGAATCCAAGAATCATGTTTTTGCTTTCCAATTTTGATCTTGTACCAGAACTTTTGGGTGATACATAGAAAGAAAAAACTCCCATTAAATCATAGAGTTCTAAAACATATTGTCTTAATGTGCAGATTAATTGCCAAGTATAGGCCAACAATGCCAGTTATATCTGTTGTCATTCCAAGGCTGAAGACAGATCAATTAAAGTGGAGTATGAGTGGGGCATTTGAGGTATGCACATTCGTTTTGCTATTGTTTGTTACAGTCTTTTAAGAAAGTATTTCCTCATGCAAAACAAATACTACAGTGAGAAATAATTGGTTACTTATTATTGTGTTTTGTTCTAAATTAAGTAATTAATGAATAAGCAAGCACTCTATGTATACAATTTATACCTGTTTTGTTATAACCAAACTAGGTTCCTACCCCTCTACTTAAAAATTTTAAACATTTTAAGTAGAGGGGTAGGAACCTTCTCAGTCCAAAAAGAGGAACATTTAAAAAAATTTCAAGAAACATCCTCCCTTTCAAGAGTTCTCTCTCATTCTTATCATAATACATGAGTGTACAAATTGTTTAGTCACCTTTTTGCTTTGTCTTGTTCGATTATTGATGTTATCTGCTGTCCTTTCGAGTGTTGGTGGATTCCCCTATTCACTACAATTTTTTCAATCATGTAGCTATTTGCTCTCCTATGTTGTGGGGATGCTCATTGATAGTCAATTATAGTCACACTTATTGGTAGTTATTATTATTAACTAAGAGCTGAAAATAGAAACCCATTTTTCAATTTCAGGCTCGACAATCTTTAATAGTCAGAGGTTTGTTCCCTGTGCTTGCTGATCCTCAACACCTAGTAAGTTATACTCGTTCTATACAATTGTTGAAGGATATATATTGCTTTATTATATCAAATCTAATGATTTAAGAAGGTTGGTTAAGTTACATGGCTGATTTCAAATTTGAGGATTATCTTTCTTGATTAGTTCATCGGACCATGTGTTTGGTTTCCTAAAATGTGCCGTGTTTTGGGTAGATATACATCAGGATGTGGTAGTTTACGGCCATTCAAGTTTTTATACATAATATTCTGTGATTGCTTTGTTTCAGTGCTTTCAGCCGTTCTTAGGTGAAATTTTAATAAATTTTTGCTGTCATTTGGCAGAATTACCATTTATTTTCGAGTTATGATGTGATGAGTTCCATTATCATTTTGTTGTATATTGTTTGCTTCTGTATTTGAACTTAAAAGAGTAGAACGGTGGTGAACTTCTTGGATGTAAGTTGCAGCAGAATGTAACTTGCCCTAGCCTTCTTTAGATATTTCATATTTATGTGGCTTCTCTTTACCAAACTATCTTATTAATAAATAAAATATCTTTCTTGCTCTCTAGGCGGACTCAAACAATGCAACGACAGAGTCGGTACTGAACGCTGCTCTTGATCATGGAAAGTTAGCAGGAGTCATCAAGGCACATGACCGTGTAGTCGTTTGCCAGAAAGTTGGAGATGCATCAGTCGTCAAGATTATCGAGCTTGAAGATTAAAATGCATCTCGACCTCTTGAGTTGAGTCTTTGTCCCCTCCCCCTCCCCCTCCCTCCCCAAATGCATTTTTGAAGAGCACTTGGCCCTCATGCAGTCACCTAAGACACGTATACAAATATGGAGTTCGTATAACCTGGTGATGGTGAGTGATTATATACGTAAAACAACTCTTGATGTATCATTTTTGTCTTCTTATAAGTCATGATATTCATGTAAAACCACCATAGATGATTGAAGTTATTAAACTGGTTGCTTTGCTTTCTTGGTGTTCATACTGATCATGTCCCAACTTCCATCTGAATTGGTGGGCTATCAAACAAACTTCCTCTGCTCTGATTCAAGATCATTCATTTCCCTTCAGCTTGGTCGATCAAATTTTGAGTGGTACAGCATGCGTTGATAATGAATGATTGTTTAAGGAAGTTTGGAAGTTTCTGTTTGATCTTCTGCTCTCTCCAGTGATGGCATGCTGTACAGTTGTTTAGAGAGAAAAGTGGCTAAGTAGAGGAGTAGAGGCTAGCCAAGTAGGGTGGTGGACCAGATAAGGAGGTGGTGCTGGTGTGTGGATTTATGGATTTGGTCCACCTACGGCGCCGCCTGCTCACAGACACCCCACTGTCTCAATATCTCTTAATTTTTCCAGGCACCATTTGGGATTCAATTGCCTCATTTTCCCTCCTTTTATTTTCAATTTCCTTTACAAATCTCTTACTCTTCTCTTTTACAGCTTCTCTCTTCTTTGTAGATGGACCACTCTCCCACTATATTCTTACTCCTATCCTAATGCAGACCCTTCTTTTAACCCGAATCGTTACTTAGCCATGGGACCCTCTATAATGTAATTTAGTCTGTAGTTTCAGAAAGAATTAGTGGAGTTATGGGCACAAAAATTCCACTGACAAGAGTGGTTGTAGTCGACACCAATCTTTTTTGGGTAAAATTAGTATAAAAAATTATATGATTGTAAGTTCATATATATAGTATAACACGTGGGGTGGAGAATCGAACTCACTATATTTTAATAAAGAAATGTGAAAGATGTGGATATCTATGACTTGGGTTAAATATAATATGTTTTGCACATTTAAATAGAATGTCATGCAGCTGTGTACATATTCATGAGCCGGATCACGAGCTTGAGGCTTCAAAAGTGAAATGGGTTGTAGTACATTTTTGCGAAAGAAAAAAAAATAGTAATTGATACTTTGAGAATCTACTGGACACTTGTTAAACTAAACAACATTTAAAGTCTAAGGAGACTTACTAAAAACTCTTTAGGGACCGTTTATTTCGTGGTATCTAAGATTTTCATTAGACGGATATTTGAATTTTAACGTTTGTCTTGCACGAATATAGAATACCAAGACATCTCAAAATGTTTGAGTATCCTAGGATGCCTATATGAAAGATATCCAATGTGTTTTGAACCCCTTTTGAAACATGAGTTTTCAAGATTCCCGTGTAGAGCGCATCTTCTCTTTACGTTTTTGTCCTTCATATATTTTTTATTTTTTCCTAAAAAAGATGCTTTCTTTTATTTTTAAATTTATAATTTAGATAAATGTACTCATCGTCTAATAATATTTATTATTATAAATATATAATTTTAAAGCAATATTTTTTTTACCGACCAACATACATGTGATATTTTCCCTCTTAAAAAAATATAACTTGATAATAAGATAAATAAATTTCATTCACAATAACATAAATTATCTTTTTAGAAAAATACTAAAGTCTAAAATAAAATTTATATTAAATTAATATGAATTAATTTATTATACAAAATAACATACAAAAGTAAATATAAAAAACAAAATATTAAATTAATAAAAATAAATCTATTATATGAAATTTAGGTATAAATCATATGAATATTTGTAACAGCATTCTTGGAACATTATATAAATTTAACACATCTCCAATGAAAAATCCCGCAAAACAAACAAATATGACTATTAAAATATTTTCAAATATTCTTATAAATTTTTCTACAAAACAAACATGACCATGTGAATGCTGAACAACCCTGGGCCTTTAGTCATAACTCTAGAAGTTTAGAGCCCTTTTACCGAGGTTAAAAACACGTTTAATGACCCATTTTTTGCGTATCTTGAAGCATAAGTAGTCTCTGAAACGAAGCTATTTTTAAGGCAGTTGTGCAGTCCTATGTGGGTTGTCTTATTCAATGTTACGTTGTTTTTGGCAGCAAAGCATTCACCTCATCCTCTCTTCCATTTACTAAATCATATGAATAATTCCACACTCAAACTTCAGTAATGTGTTTATACATGTTGAAAAGACACTTCCTAATTCCAATAGTACAGCAGCACACATTTCAAGCCATCGATTTTGCCCCTTTTCTTCCCAATTTGTTTCTGCACACTCATCGAATATTATAGTTTAAGATCATCCCATACCTTTCTCCTTCACAACCTAGTTATTAATGGCTGGATTTCCAAGGAAAATACATTTAGCTAGACAAGAGAATGATTCATGGTATATAGACTGCATTAATATGAGGTTTTTTGGAATAAAATCAAAAGTAAAACTTCTCAAAACTGTAGATAATATCATATCATTGTGGAAATAGTTCGGATATGAGGGTATCGTTGTCCTTAAAACTAATTTGCATATAGCATATATTATAGAAAAATACTTAACTCTCCTTGACGGTGTTTTTATAAAAAGTTAATGTTTTTGCATTTCTCTTTCTTAAGTGTCAAACATTAAAGCATGGTAAAGACAAGATTGCTCGGATATTATATTTTCCCATCTTAGTATACTAATTTGCATGTATAGCATGTGCTTGGGTGTGTTACATTGTATTACAACATCATTCAATTTTCATCTTTTATTTCAATTCTAGGATAAAATAGTATGTCCTTACACTCCCACATTCTTGCATTCTTCTTTTTTCCCTTTCAAATAATCATAACTCTTCATATTATAGTATGTTCATCTTGAGTTTGATTAGATCTAGTTGGGGCGAAACATACTTCTTTTTTCCATCTTGGACTTACTCACCAAGTTTCTTTTACAAACCCAATTAAGAAGCTTTCCAATATAAGCTGTTTTTCCCATTTCAAAAACTTTTCCTAAATGGGACAAGAAAAGCAAATTTTTCAATATTGTGTAGGGTAAACGAGTGACTAAGAAGTCAAAAAACTATTAGAAACAAGGGAAAAAAAAGGGAAAAAAGGATGGAAGAAGGCGATTTAACATGGAGAAGGCCGTACTAGAAATAATTCGAAACTAATTATAATTGACAGTGAATAGTAAATGCAGGAGAAAGAGAAATGAACATATATATTGGCATTGGCGTACGAAAAAGGAGGAGAAGAAGGAGAAGGGAGAGGAGGGTTTTGTCTCATGTGTGTGTAAACTGTGTACAGCTTTATATCTGCCAAAACCTTAACCAATTCACGTTTTTGTTATACCAAAAGATCACAATACATACTGTTTTCACTTTCTCCTTCAACCCAACTGTGATTCCGGAGCCCTCTGATCCCCCCCTCCCCCCTTTCATTATTCACCCACATAAACACAGACACAGAAAAGGACTTGATTCAGCTTTAATTTCCTCTCTCTCGATCGAACACCGATATGAAAATACTTGGCTACTTGACGGTAATTAATGACCGTGTTGAGTTTGTAAAGTGTGCAAATAAAGTTCCAGATTGGTCAGGGAGAAGAGAGCGATCCACGGTATATAGACGAGTGTAATTATCTCCATTGGTTTGAAGCTTTGTTGGTAAAATAAAAAACAAAGCCGTGAGAGTTATATCCAAAATGAACAATATCGTACCATTGGGAAGATAGAGCTAGGGGTACTGTTGTTGTCCTACGGACCAAATATTGTCTTCACCATCATCTTTTATAAAAAGTCTTTGCTTTTGCATTTTACTATCTAAGTTTTCGAATATTTAATGATGGTAAAGACAAAATTACATCCGAGACTAAGTATTTTCTAAATTAATAGATACGTGTACTTATATACACATAAGAAAGTGAGAGAGGAAAAAGTCATTGGGGGATGGGATGGTCCCCATACACTCAACCTTCTCTTATTGAACACTCTCACTGACACATACACATATACAATGCCTAATTTTCTCTTTCTCTGAGATCTAATTCTGTATGTGAACCTTTGTTGTGCCCAAAAGGGAGGTAGCCCTTTCAAACTGGTGTCTCTGCTTTCCCACGCCTTCCTCTCCCTCTCCCTCTCCCTATTTATTCTCTATTCCCTTGCTCCCTATGACAGTGGTCCATACCCCATTCCCTCTTTCAACCCAATATTCAATTTTCCTTCTCTTCACGCAACACACCATTAATCTTCGATCCCCTCTTTTGTAGCTGAGAGAGAGAGCTCTGAAAAATAATATCCATTTCCAAACCAAACAAATATGGACTGGAATGGCATCTTCAGGCCCCCTCCTTTTCTATCAGAATCTTCCTCTCCCTTCCTCTACAATTTGGATAATCACTTCCCACCTGGTAACCAAAATCCCTATATATATATATCTATATATATGCCTCGTTTCTTCTTTCTTTCACTGCAACACATACAACCAAACATTTACTACTACATTTCTTTTTCTTTCTTCCTGAAATGAGTTTGAATCATCAAATCAAGAGTTCCTCCAAAAACCCTTTTCGTCAAAACAAGAAAAGAAGATCCTTTTTCCAATATTTCTCGCTCGTTCTCTCGTGGGTTGTTTGGGAATTTGCACAAAACCCAACAAGTATTCACGTGGGTTGATTAGGGTTTAGAAAAATAACATCTTGATCTTGCTCTGATGTCACGTTAAATCGTCCTTGAATTTAATCTTTTATTCATATTTTCTTGTTAGAGCTGGAGTTCGGGATGAAGCAGGCCGGCGCGGTAGACGGTCGGCAATTAGGTGTGGCAGGCGGTGGAGTGGATAAGAAGAGGAGGTTAAGTAACGATCAGTTGGAGGTATTGGAGAGAAGCTTTGGAGAGGAGGTGAAGCTTGATCCTGATAGGAAAATAAAGCTGTCCAAGCAACTTGGGCTTCAACCAAGGCAAATTGCTGTGTGGTTTCAGAATAGAAGAGCTCGCTGGAAGGCCAAGCAACTTGAGCATCTCTATGATGCCCTCAAACAAGAGTTTGATACCATTTCTAAGGAAAAAAACAACCTTCAACAAGAGGTCTCTCTCTCTCTCCATGCAATTCCATGCATTTAGCTCTTTTATGATCTTTAGATACATTTGGTAGCCTATCACTTGAAGATTGCTTACAAATTTTAAATCACCCCATCACTCTATACTTCCACATTTTTATTGTTAGGTCATATTGCTCATTTAGAGAGAATGTTATTTGAAATGTGATTAAAGTCCCCGTTGACCGTCCATATAAAAGGAAAGGTCACGGGTATATAAAGGACAACTATCTTTTTTGATATGAGGTGGTTTTTTTGGTTGGAACCAAAAGCAAAATTATAAAAGACTCTAACCCTACAGAAATACAGAAATGTCCGAACATGTATTATATTACAAATTTATGGGAGAAATTCAGTCCTGCAACTCTTTTGAAAGGAGATCTATAAAGATGTTTTAACTACTAAATCTATTGGGATCATTGTTAAGTCCTCACTTCCAAACTTGAATGATTAGTGTAAGAAGAGAAATTCAATTCATTTAGGACTCTTGACGTAAAATCATGCAAAAACAGTGCAGAGAAAGCCTTGATTAGTATGTATATAAAAAATGAACTCAGTTTATCTTGAAATTTTAAATATATACATATATATATATATATATATATATATCTTACTCCTTTTCAATAAAATAACTATAAATAAAAATATTGATAGGGCTAATGTGTATGGCAGCTGAAATTGGTGCAGAAGGTTAAGAATATGAATAAGAAAAACTGAATTTACCATAAACTATTCATTTAAATTTGTAGGGTCAATGGTGATCTCATATAGTATTAAAGCAGAAATCTTCAGGAATCATTTGTTTTTGTTTTTAGGGATCTTAAATATCTGAAATTTTAGATTGATGCCTAGAAATATAGATGTTTGATATTTTTATATAATTATGTTTGTTTTTCAAATAAATTAATTTATAATGATATTTAGGAATATTTGAATCTATGTTTGGTTTGCTAGATCTATTGTCAAAAATTATATATTTGTTTCAAAAAAATCCCTTACGGATAGTCATGTAATTTAATTTATACCTGAACTTTGATGTGTTTATTAATTTAGTAGTTTTTTAATTTTATTAAATTTAAATGTTATTTTGCCTAACACATTCATTTATATTTCTATAAAATATTTCATATTAGCAGTTAATTACAACTTTAACTTTATTTTTTCTTTCAAAAGAAAATTATATAATTGATTACATTTTTGTTAGATTATATTTTTATATTATCAAATAAAAAAAATACTTAAATTGCATAAAGTTGGTTGTCAACTTACTTAAATTGGATATAGGGTTGTTTGTTAAACTAATGACTTAAATTGCATAGGGTTGTTTATCAGAGCAGCTGTACCTATATTTCAAAGAACATTGAAAACATGCCCACCCATGTGAACATCTCAAGATATTCTCGCGAAACAAACCGTCTCTAAAAGTAACTTAATTTAACTTTTTTGGGTTGAATGGTGATTTAACAAAATAGGTGATGAAACTGAGAAGCATGATAATAGAACAAGCGGCGAGGAATCAAGGGTCGGGGGCGGATGTGTCGGGCGAAGAGACGGTGGAGAGCACGTCGGTAGGGGGTCGGAGCTGCTGCAACAATTACATATACAATGTGGCCGAAGATTTCAACCAAATATCAGCATCAGCATCAGCATCAGCTTCAGCTTCAGCTTCTCCATTATTCTGGGGCGCTGGTCACCACCTGCCTTCTTATCCTTAGCAATTCAGCCTTAGTTTTACCTTACAAAATTGCATTAAACTTTAATTTCTTACTGTGCATCATCCAAGACATGAAGTTCAGTTCATATTGCCTACACTACTTTCTACTGCTTTTTGCCAATTACCAGGTGTGGGTGTGGGCCTGTGGTTGAAGGTGTGTTTTTTTCCCCTCCTTTCTTCTGTTTTAATCAACCCAAAAATTAAGCTCATATGAGTAGAAAATTGTCTGTACGGCTACGGCTGCTTCATTGACATTTTGATCTTCCAATTTTGCTTTATTTGTTTTCATCTTCATTCTTGAATCCTACCGTGCACGGAGGAATTGATTAAAGAAGATTCAATTGAAAAAAGAGAGAATTCTGGGCAGAAATTGACAAAGCAGAACAAAAAGGAAGTTGGCGGAAGGAAAAAAAATTAAAATAGCAGAAAAAAAAAACAGAAGAGAAAATCAAAGTAAAAATAGAATAAGAAGAAGAAATGGAGAAAGAGTTCAGAAAAATAACGGAAAAAAAAAGGGAAAAATAGCAGGAAAGGAAAAACCGAAGAAAAAGAAGAGGGTTTCAGAAAAGGCATATTTTGAGACAGGATAACAAAACACTCCCACCTCAGCTCATTCAACATCTTATTGATCACTTCTAATTTAACATAGTAGACATTAAATAGTATAGACCCATCCCAAAGAAACCAAATAAAACTACAAAAATTTTATAAAAAAATATAAAATCATAGTAACCTTTTCCCTTTATTTTTCTTTTTTTTTTATTTATTTTATAATATTACCTCGTAATTAAATTTATATTTAATAGAGAATATTAGAAGCAGAGAGATGAATAATGCAATTACTCCCCTTGCTGTGAACTAAAAATTAAGTGAACTTTTTTTCCTTTTTATGTTACAATTTCTAGACTTTCAGGGCTAGAAATAGAGATCAGGAAAAAAAGATAAAAACATAAAAAGAGAGAAAAAAAAAGAAAAAACAAACTGGCGAGAGAGATAGAGAAAAGGAGAAATAAGGGGGAAAGAAACCAGCTAGAAACGAGAAATGGAGAGAGTGAGAAAAATAAAGGAGAAAAAAAGAGCTAAAATCAGGAAAAAAGAAAAAGAAAAAGACACAAGAAAGAGAGCTATCAACGGAGCAAGAAGCGAGATTGAGAAGCAAGAAACGAGAAATAGAGCAAACCCGCTAAAAACACAGTGAGACCACAAAATGAACACGGAGATACAAGGGTCTAAAAAATAGATGAAAAAAGTTATCACTCTGTTGCATCAGAGGAATATCATTAAACAAGCAACACCAATACCTTTTCAAGAGTCAGCAAAACATTGAAACAAAGTTTCAAGGCAAAGGATGAGGGGATCCTTCTCTTCCACAATCCCAAGAGAACTTTCAAAAAGAAAAAAAATCACTCCCAAGAGAACAAAAATCATAGGTTTTCAAAGAGAGATCCTGAAGCACGGTTGAAAAAATTAATCCGTGCTTCCCTTTCCGATAAATCCAAAAGGTAAGCAAACAAAATTTGGATGGAAATTCAAAAAAACCTGAGAACCAAACCATGGTGAGTAGTCGAGTTATAATTCATAATAAAGAAAATTAACACAAAATGCATAACTCCGATGTATGTGATGAAATGTAACAGAAAGAAGAAATGTAAACCACATTAATTTATCCATACAAAATTTTGGAAATAATCAAACATTATCTTTTACTCGGGCTTGCTATTTCAAAGACCGTAAAAGCTCAAAACTACTCTGTTGAGTTTGCAGTATGTAAAGTTCAACGTTTGCCGCCACCACCACCAAGTTTTGGTCCTTTGGGTGCAGCTCCCCTGGTAACGTTACTCTTGTTCTGCGTCTTCTGTGTTTTGGCCATCACTTCTGCCTTCTTAGCCTTCTTTTCATCCTTCGTTTTCTTAATTCTCTCCTTAATTTCACTACAGCCCAAAAATTGACAAATTCCACACATAAAGTTAATTTACACAAAGAAATAGTGATTGAAATCAGAATTATTCAGTGCTCAATAGAAACATACAAATGTCTACATTTGGCTTTCTACAAGATTTTGTAATGAATATACAGTAACATACAGAAAAGTTCAAGCTCAGAACAATCACATACCGGAGGGCTGCTTCTCTAGCAGCATCACGAACCTCGGGCTTCTCAGCTCTCTTCTTTTGGATAACCTCCAATGTAGCACCCACTATGGACCTTGAGTATGGTTTCTTGGCAGCACGTCTCCTCTTCTTAACAGCCTCTTGAGCAATGTCCTACAAGAATTAGACATTCAATATTTCACCTCTTATTTTGTAAAAATCGTGGTTTAGAGGACACAATACTGTATATCATTAGGTTAGAACCAATGTTTTAAAAGGCTAAAGGCAGCCTCGAGGCTTTTCCTCTCAAAGAGGCAAGGCGTAAGCCTCAATTATAATTAAAAGAATCGTAAAAATCTAAAATTTGTATGATCAAGTATCGCTAAACATAATAGTTATATAAAAGTATAAAAAGATCGCCCGTTAATTGCCACTTGAATAAAAATCCTAAAAGAAGATCCTCAATATCACTACTATTATCACTAGTACTATTATCACTAATAGGATTTTATTCTATAAAATTTGTCTCCAATGTTTTTAAAGTCTAGGTAGTAAAAGTAGTGATAGGTTGAATCATCATCACACCTACAATGCATTCCTTATGCAAAGAAACCTTTATATTTTGTAAGAATTGGACAAATTACTAATATTGTTCTAATCATTACACGTACGCCTCAAGTGCATCTTCAATGAGAGGCGTAAGCCTCTTATGGTTCAAAGGAGGCGCAAGTCTTGAGGCTAAAAGTTAGAGCCTTGCCTCCAAGCGAGCCTCAAGGCGTAAGCCTAGAAAGCTTTATAAAACATTGGTTAGAACTTCCACAAACAAATATACAAATCATTAGAGCCTTGGTGTTATTGAAAATTTATGATCTAAAAGTTCGACTGACAAATAACTCTGTTCCAGAATCACTCATCCCATCCATAATCAATATTAACAACAACAGAACAGGACATGATAGCATCTAAAAATAGTTAACAAGAAAATAAATCTGTTTACCTTCTTATGTTGCTTCCTGTACATTGCTGTCCATGTGAGCTTAGAAGGCTTCAGCCTATTATGGAAGTACCTCTTGCATTTGGAGTTTGCAAACAGGAAAACCTAGTGATTCCAGACAATATTTCAATTAATACAGCAGATAAGAATCTAACAAACGACAAAAAATAAGACAATCCAGCTACAAATCCAACTCAATCAGCAGCCGCGCAGGTCCATTACCTGTGAATCGGCACGGACAAATCTGATTCCTTTGCCGGGATATATCTTCGCGCCACTGAATCGACAAAGCTCAGTCCTACCAAAACCAGAATTATATTATAGAATGAAACACTAACCGAATTACGCTGATCTAGAACCACTAGTTTTCACATTCTTACAGAATGAGCCTTTACTTCTTCAAACCCATCAATTATAATGAAAACTACTGACCTGCATATCAAATTCACCTAAACAGAAACCTAGAGATTTCTAATATACACATCGTCACATTGGTACTGCCATATTCCGCCATTTTACGGATAATCATTGATTGAAACAAAATTGGAAGGAATGCAAATAACAGAATGAAATCAATACAACAATGGATCAGAAAGAGTGGGGAGAGAGACTGACTTTAACACCATGGCGGCGGCTGCAGTGGCTACTCCTCCGTTTCTTCGTGCTCGCCGAAACCCTAGAATCCAAGTCTGTCGAGGGAAACGATATGTATAGTTTGAGATGTATTTGATTACCCCTTTATTATTATATAATCACCAGAGTGCCACTGGGCCTTTCGCAAGGTATGGGCCAAGAGATAGGCCCAAGGCCCGGATCCTTTTTAATGAGTCTAAGCCTTTTAAGGCCTGTTAGGATTACAAAATTTATTTAAAATAGTCAAAATTTATTTTATTATCATTTAAAGTTAAAATTTTTAGATTTAAATATAATTTATGAAATTACTAGGTTTGGATATGCATCAAATTTTCCTTAAAATAATTATATAAAAAAAGAGATACGCAGGAGAATTAAAGTTTGAGTTATTAATTTTTTAACACAACAAATGTAGTGATAGGAATTGGAACTTCGACTTTTAAAAAATGGACAAAATTCTTAACCAATCAAGTCGCTCAACTTGACTCATGTTGATAAAGTTTGAAAGTTAATATTATTTTATTCCTAAAGCGATAATTAATTATGTAATATTGCTATTTAATTAAAATAAATATTGCATAAAATAGTTATGTGTTTATAATTAAATTAAATAATTAAGATCTATAAATGTCAAATTATTAATCAATAGATTTGAGCATAGTTATGTTATTGGTACTTATAAGTTCGAAGTTTTACCCTTCAAATTTGAGGTAAAATACTAAAAGAAATATGATTAGAAATACAATTCATCGTGTGAATCATATCATTGGAGTCCTGACCCATTTTTGAATCCTATTTATCACAATCTTCATATATTGCTTCCTTTTCGATCATACAAACTAAATGAAATGAACTAAAAACCCAAAATCAGGGTTTTTTTTTTTTTTTTTTTTTTGCAAAAGCAGCCACGGTGAAGTTATTGACGTTTATATACAGCTTGTATATAAATGCACATGAAAAGTTTAATAAAGTAATTTTATTGAATCCACAAATTAATTATAATTTATAAGCCAGGGAGAGATAGAATTGGAAAAAAAAAAAAGAAATAAAATATAATGGCTTCAATATATATATATATATATCTATATATAGTTTTTTTTTCAGTACTAATGGCATCAATATTAACCTATATTAATGAAATAAAATAAAGATATTGTGTTGTCACGACGATGTGACACTTCACCAAAGACGATCCTTTTCCAATTCTCCTAAATTCCTTTCTTCACGGTTCACCCAAGAACCAACTTCCACGTGTTTTATGTACTCGAAAAAAAGAAAAGCAAAAGCACAAGAACTTCCATGTGTTTTATGATATAGTTTAATTTGAACTAAATATCAGGTATATTTGAGAAAGATTTTCGCCTATAAAATAATGATGTTTTACAAAAGATTAAAATTTACTTTTAGGAAATCTAAAAATTATTTTAAAAGATTATTGAGGCATTAGGGTATAAAATATGTTATTAGTGAAATAGGGTACCTCATCCTTACGAGTCGACCAACTCGAACTCACCTGGGTCAACCACCAACCAATTTAAACCATCATGGACTGACCAATCTGGACTAATCGGAGTTGAATTGAGCACATCAACATTTTTTTTTTAGGGATTTGGTATTTTTAAAATCAGTTTCGAAACTAAACATTAATTAGTAAAAATCACTTCTAATTATATAAAAATTACTTAAACTCAAATCTAAAATAAATTGTTATTATTTTTTCAAAAAAATCATCTCAGGTATTGGATATTGATGAATTGGAGCAAATTTTAATTTATGGTGTTGCCTAAATGAACCTTTAAGGTCAAATTATGGTCACACTAATCGGTAAAAAGTGGTTGACTCTATCCAATTGATTTTTTTTCTCTTTAAATCAACCAATTGAATTGACTGAATACATGGAGAATGAAGGCCATATATTAGTTGTATCAAAGTTTTTTTTAGTAATCTCATTAAACCAAATTTCTGGATCCAAGTCCAACCATCATGCTATGAAAAATAAAATTTAATTTATATATTTATTTAGTTTTTAATTCCAAATAAGTTTTGTCATAGGAATTCAATAATTCTTATCCAGGCTGGGAATTCCACACACTTCAAAAAAAAAAAAAAAAAAAACATATTTGACAAAGAGCGAGCAACAAGAAAAGGAGCTCCCCATCTTATCAGTAATCAAAACTGACTCCCCCGATAATTTCCATCTCGATTTTCTCTCAGTCTTTGTGCTGAAAATCACAGTTTTTATGTTCCAAATTTGTGGAAGAACCCTCGAATTTTGAATTTTCCGAGTGAATCGGAACCTTTCGAAGTTGCTTGACCCTGAACTCGCATGGCAGGCGAGGACAGCCATGGAAAGTAAGAAACATGAGGAGGATCAGACCGATAGCAGCGATTACACGTCGGAGGACGAGGGGACTGAGGATTACCGGCGAGGAGGGTACCACGCGGTTCGAATCGGCGACACTTTCAAGAATGGCAGATACGTGGTGCAGAGCAAGCTCGGTTGGGGCCATTTCTCCACCGTTTGGCTCGCCTGGGACACCCAATGCTCTGTAATTACTCTTTTCTTCCCTCCTTTCTCCGTACGCCCTGATTGTTCTTGTATTGATTCTATCCGATCTCCCTGTTAAACATAACAAAAATTTTCATCTCTTCTTTTATCTGCCTTGATTGAGAAACTATGCTGGTAGTTGGGTACGGCCTTTATAGGATATTGTTTTTTTGCTTTGTTTGCGAGTCAAAAGTAGAAGATCAGAGGAATCCTAAGTTGAGCGCTTCTATGGCTTATTTTGGAACTTTTCTTTTTGGGGGGTGGGGGGTGCTTGCTATATGTATTTGAACTAATTTCATGATGTTCAGCGATATGTAGCTCTCAAGGTGCAAAAGAGTGCTCAGCACTACACCGAGGCTGCCATGGATGAGATAACTATCTTGAAACAGATTGCAGAGGGAGACCCTGAAGATAAAAAATGTGTGGTGAAGCTCTTGGATCATTTCAAGCATTCAGGACCTAATGGACAGCATGTTTGTATGATTTTTGAGTATTTGGGGGATAATCTGTTGACACTAATCAAGTATACTGACTATCACGGATTGCCGATTCATATGGTTAAGGAGATATGTTTTCAAATATTGGTTGGCTTGGATTACTTACATAAACAGCTCTCTATTATACATACTGATTTGAAGCCTGAAAATATTTTGTTACTGTCAATGATAGACCCATCAAAGGATCCCAGAAAATCTGGCATCCCTCTCATTCTTTCAACTAACAAGGACAGGGCTTCATTAGAGCCCGGGATTTCGAAAGATATAAAATTTTCAAATGGTGATTTGACTAAGCACCATAAAAGGAACATTCGAAGAAAGGCAAAGCAAGCAGCTCAGGGGTGTGTGGAGAAGGAAAAGAGTGCAGAGGCTGAGGCTAATCCAGAAACATCTTATACAGTGGAATCTTCTCCTAATGCAAAGTCGAGCACGGGTGCTACCAAGGAAAAACAACCTAGTTCTTTCAATTCAAATAGATTATCTGATGCGGATGGAGGGGAAGAAAATCAAAGCACCAAGAAAGGGAATCGCTTAAGAAAGAAGATGTTATTGGCTTCAGTGGATCTGAATTGCAAGTTGGTCGACTTTGGAAATGCATGTTGGACATACAAACAGTTTACAAATGACATTCAGACTAGACAGTATAGGTGCCCTGAAGTTATCCTCGGATCGAAGTATTCTACATCAGCAGATCTTTGGTCCTTCGCATGCATTTGTTTTGAGCTTGCAACTGGTGATGTACTCTTTGACCCTCACAGTGGTGACAACTTTGACAGAGATGAGGTTTGGGTGCCTTCTAAAACTATTAATACAGACTTTATTCTTTAAGCTTGAAACTGCAATTTTTTATGTGTTCGTTGTTCATTGTGATAAAATTTAGCGATGTAGTAAAATGTACTGGTCTAGTAGTCTTAATGTGAAAGATACCAGTTTTTGGCATAAGATGCTGCCCATTACATTTCAATCTTGATCCATGTTGCTTAGCTGGATTTTCCTCTTGCAATGTTCCATTCTTGAATTCTGTGCTAAAAAAGCCACCTCTCGTAATTGATAATATCTCATTGCCTTGTTTTGTAGAATGTGTTTAAGAGGATCTAGAATGTGTTTAAGAAGATCTGTTCTGAATTTTATTTTAGTATTCTCTTAATCATTGTTAGAAAGGTGATTCAACCGTGGTGTGTCCTAATCCTTTAGGCTGTCATATACATTTTCTGTGTTTATATGTCTTGTACATAGCTGAAACATTGTATTTACTATCGATTTAGACTTATCTGAAGTTGCTTTCCTATTAATTAGTAGATAATTGCGAGAGTCTTCAAGATTTAAAAACAATAGTTTCTTGCGTGCTCCAGGACCACTTAGCTTTGATGATGGAACTTCTTGGAATGATGCCACGCAAGGTACGCAATTGTTTTTCTTAAAAAATATCTGTTGGTGGCACAACCACACAGGTTATGCTAACATATTTGTGCTGTCAATGATTTCCAGATTGCCTTTGGTGGTCGCTATTCTCGAGATTTCTTCAATCGATATGGCAATCTGAGACACATCCGCAGGTTACGTTTCTGGCCATTAAACAAAGTTCTCATGGAGAAGTATGATTTCAGCGAACAAGATGCAAATCAAATGGCAGAATTCTTGGTACCAATCCTTGATTTTGTTCCAGAAAACCGACCCTCTGCAGGTCAATGCCTTCTTCATCCATGGATGAACGCTGGTCCTCGGTTGTTGGAACCATCCCAGAATCCTGCCTCTCCTGAGGAGAAGAAGAAGGAAAAGGAAGACACGGAGGCAATGGAGGTAGGCATGAGAAACATTGCCATTAGTTCAGATTCTGAACAAGTTAAAGATTCCCAGCAGTCCAAGTCCAAGACCAGCAAAAGCAATTCCTGAGGTAGGTCTCTGCTCCACTTCATCTTTCTTGTGTGGATTTAGCAAAATGGTGGTTGGAATTCTAGTGAGAAAAGAGACCAAAGAGCTGAGTGAAGCAATTGGGTTGCATTAACAATGGTGAAGCAGAAGCTCCAACAACTTTTGAGTGAGAAACTTGTGTTAACAAGCATGAACCCAAAGCTTCTGCCAGGAATGTGGTGAATCATGAAGTTTATTTTCAGTGAAGCTGAATGATGTAGCAGTCTGGCAAGTGGAGCCCAGATGGGTGGTTTAGGTACTACTACAGCTCAACAATAATTTTCAATTTTCATTACCATTTTATAAAAAAAAAATATTCCTTGTATTCAGGTGGTCTAGCATGGAGACACCAAGCTTTACTGCACAATGTGATTTATTGGTTTTTATATTGCTTCTTTTAGTCTCTCTCTCCATATATATATATATATATCCAAAGTCAAGGTTCAGTGTTAAATTATTATTAGATCTAAAAACTCAAGTTCATAAGTTATAACAAGTTTTTAATCCTCAAGCCTTTCCATATCATTCTCTTTTATCTTTCAAGTTCTAAAATATTACAGTTTAACACCACTGAGATTTTGAAGTCGGTAGTTTCCCTTTCAGCTATGTGATTGTCTTTTCAATTTTATATTACTTTAATGCTCGTGTGACAATAGATAATTAACTTTAATGATATGGTTAACTTCACAACATTTTCTAAGATGGGTGATGATTGATGATGGCGAAGATGATGATTATAATAATAATAATAAAGGAAGTGGAAGCCAAAGAATATTCAAACACACTACATGATAACATTATCTGATAACAAAGTTCAATTTACAGATGATGCTGTCAGCGAGATGCTAACAGAACAGCAACCCCGATAGAAATCTAAAACCAAAACGATTTTGTGACAATTTATAAATAACTTTGAAGGTATGATGCTGTTAGCGAGGAGCTAACAGTCATCTCCTTGCTTTATTTTCTTCACAAACAAACAGGGATTCGGTCAACAAGGCGTTGGCCAATTCTCTGCCTTCACAAGTGATTATATTTCAAAGTTCAAATCTCTTCTTCTTCTTCTTTTTACAGTTTTGTTCATGTGGTGATCTCTCTCACTCACTGCTGCAGAAATCTAAGAACCCCATGAACTCGTGGTTCTGTATCATTTCCATACTTTTCGAAACCCCAATAATGCCTGGAACAAAAACAAACACACTCGTTGAGTTTCTTTCAACTTTCAAATATTTTGTTTGTGACGGTTAAATTACTATTTGAAATTCATACCCATGGTGATGGCACTAGCGAAGATGACGCCAGAGAGGATGAACACAATGAGTGAGGCTCGTCTGAGAATAGCGATCATTTTTCTAACTAAAAACTGCCCCCAGAAGCCAGCCAAAACTGACACCGATGTAAAATACAGAGCTGCAAAATGCAAACAAATTCAAGAAGAAATGAGATGACTTAGTACTGGAGAATGACAGAATGAAAAGTTGACCCACCATATGGCATGGGAAACCTGTCGAGCAAGTAGAACTCCACCACTGACAAGGATGAAGAGAACATCATCACAAATGTTGCTGTTGCACTAGCAACCTGTTTGTTTAAGAAAACAAAACATCTGAGAAAGGCAAAAAAATGTTGTAATGAGATTGAGAATGTTGTAGTGTAGAGTGTAGTGTAGGGTACCTGAGGGACAACACCAATTTCCAAGAGCAAAGGGCCCAAAACAAAGCCACCACCAGAGCCAAGAAGGCCTCCAACAGTGCCTCCTACAATGCCACACAATGCACAGAACCCAAGGTGTGCGCCAGTCCATCCTATTGAGGCCTCACAGATGTATTCTGAGTTCCCTGTCTCCATCCTCTTCTTGTGTTCTCTGTACAGCTTCCTTGCTTCATACCCAAACACTGCAAATGCTATGGGGAACTGATGTAGTTCCCACAACAATACAATTAGCTTATAATGGGAATGAAATGAGTCAAAATATGGGAGATAAACTTACCTGATATGATATTATTTAGAGGTCTGGAGTCGGAGCTTTGTTCTCCTATATCTATGGACACTCGTGTCCACCCTAAGACCCGAACCCAAAAAACATTAAGTGTTTTTTATATTAAGCTCACTAGAAGGTTCGAACATGAAATCTCTAAGTCAGTATGATCAAGAGATCTCAAGTATTTATCAACTAGGCTACTCTTTAGGGGCTAGGCCCACTTAAGAAAAGAAAGTTTAAACTTTAAATATCATGTTTGATAAGCTTTTATCATCAAACCAATCTTAACATTCATTCACCAACGTTAAAGTTACTATTAAAAATGGCTAAAGGCATGACTAAATTGGAACTCCTTAAACAATAAGGACTAAATTGAAAGAGTGCTAAATTGAAAGAGTGCTAAATACTGGAGATTGAAGCATATATTTAGCCAAACTAAAATAATTTAAATGAAACTTGAAGAGGGAAAAAATTAGTTTTTAAAAATCATATATATTTCTAGTTTTCAAATTTTAGAAACTGCCTAGAAAAAGAGAGAGATTTAGTAATTAAGCTTACTTTTCAAGAATAGAAAAGTAGAAATGAAAAGGTTACAAAATAGAAGCTTAGAAAGTGGAGTCCACAAATTTAGGAATCAAAATCATAGATACTCTCAAACTTTTATTAGGAAACAAAATACCATTTCCTAGAATTAAGAATTTGATTCCTGATTTGACGTGGGACCCTACAAAGTTAGAATCCTCCTGGATTTGTATCAAGAATAAACTTGATCCACCAAGATTCTCACTCCCTGATTCAAAATTAGATTTGACTAGTCCCCCAATCATTGAATCCAAAAAAAAATAACTATAAGATAACAACATTAATTAATATAATAGAAATCACAAGTGGGGAGGATTAAACTTTAAACTAGTTAAATTATACAAAAACAAACCTGCAATGAGAAGATGAGCCAATACCAAGTGCTACAAACTGCTACATCATTCTGCATTATTGTTCAATCAATCAAAATCAAACGCAAACAGTGAAGTTTGTGAAAGGGAAACACAGATCAGAAATATTAAGTAAGGTACCTTGATAACTTGAAGTATGAGGAAAGAAATCCACACAAATATTAAAATGGAGGTTCTTTTCCACCTAAGGTTGAAGCACAATAATTCCTGAAACCAAACCAAAAACAAATTAATTCGCAAAACAGAGTGAAACCCAATTATTGATATGGAATGAATAAACGCCCCACCAGCGCTGTTTTCTGTTGTTTGGGAATCAGTGGGTCGTACTCTACATCGATCAGAACTGCAAACACACACAAAAACAGAACAAAACAAACATCTTCAAAACCAGAACAAAACCCAAATGGTTTTATGAAGTAAGATTTGAAGTGTATTACTATTAATTACTTACGCTCGCCACGAGAATTTACAAGAGCCCCACTTTGCTTGGCGAATTCTTTCTGGGAAAGAAAGAGGCAAAATTAGATTGTGGTGGAAAACAAAACAAAAGTAAAAAACAGAGAAAAATAATTGGGAAATTACGTTGAGAATGGTTTCTTCTTTCCACATCTCGATTCCCTTGAAGAAGGACCTGGAGGAAGTCCCTGAATCAAAAAATTACCAAACCAAAATCATGAGTTGTTGTTAGAGAGAATACTGAAATCAACCCTCCCAACTCAGAAACTTAAGTGGATGGATAGGGTAAATTCTCAGACCCACCGATAAAGAGAATAATGATGAGAATAGTGATGAGCCAGTAGGGGAAAACGACGCTAAGGGCGACGCCAACGGTGATGCCGAGCATGAGCATGGGCTGAAACAGCAGCGCCAAATCGTGATCTATAATTGGAACTTCCTTTGTCGGATGCGCCACTCTTAAATTGTACCAAACGGATGATGCAGAGGCTCCCATTATCATACCTGAGAAAAAACTAAAAATAAAAATCCACACCCCCAATTTTGTAAATCAAAAACGAAACCCAGAAATAAAAACTCGATTTTGATACATTTAGAAATGGCAGCGGCGGATTTGGTGTCGAATCCGATGATCAGAGTAAGCATAGGGACAAAAATGCCGCCGCCGCCCACTCCGCCCACCGTTCCGCAGGCTGACCCGAGAAATCCGATCGCCGTCGCCGCCACGAGTCTCCAACTAAACTCCAAATCCTGAATTTAAAAAAAAAAAAAAGAACCCCAAAATTAAATAATGATTACGACATTGGAAAAGGGAAGAGTTGGGGGAACGGGAACGGACCGGCCAGATTTTGTGGACGGCGAGAGAAGAGGAGAGGACGGAGGAAGAAGCATTCGGGCGGCTGAGATAAAGAACAGAGAGAACGGCGACGGAGGAAGCTGAGAGAAGGTAAAGAAGGAACCCAGAAGTAGCCATGGTGGAAAAACAAAAAATTTAAAATTAAAATTAAAAATAAAAAATGTCGCCGTTCTTCTTCGTGGTCTCTGAAATTATGGGATTTGCATATTGCGAGATGTGGTTGTATTGTAATAAATATTCTCTTCGAAACAGAGGAGAGAGGAGGAGAGAATATTGAATAAGGGAAATTCAATTAAAGTCAATCACAAATTCATGTGAAACGTGGCGTCTCACAACTGGTTGTAATCAATCTCCTACATTTCTGTAGACGGAACTTATTTTCTGGGAATAATTACATTTCGGGACACAACATTTAAAAAATACCCATCTCTCTCAAATAATTGGATTTATTTGTTTTTATATAAATAATTCGGACCCACTATTTCGCTTACAGCCGCTCTCTTCATATACAATCGTCAAAGTTCAAACAACACCAAATCTTGATTTAGATTCTCTACCTCTCCAAATATATGAGTTAAATGTAAATTTTGTTGTAACTTCTCAATATCCTTTTAACCTTTTAATTTAGTTTTTCATTTCCTAAGAAGTTAATATATTAATTAAGTATTATTTTAGGTTATTATTTGGAACTAAAATGTTGGATTTTGAAACCTTAAGAAATAAATAGACATTGTTGACGTTGAATTTTGTCGAGCGGGATAAGTTAGTTTGCCTCAAATTGGAGCAAACTAAGAAGTAGCGAACTGCACGATGAATGACCTGCACAAAAGGAACAAACACTTCAAAGCTTAAGTGATAAGTGGTTCGAGTTACTGTAGGTCATAGCTAAACAGAATAGCGTACCTGAATGAGTGGCGAAATGTCCTTTTTGTAGGCAGTGGGGAGGGGGGACAAGGTCGTTGGAACCGTTCCGATTTGCGGTCATAGGCTAGGTCGGTTGTCGGGCCTGAGGTCAGAGTCCTCAGGTCGGTTACGGAGAACTTAGTCGATTCTCCATTTGGTTTATGGTATTCAGCTCGGTCCCAAGAGGATAAATCTTCTCTCTTGTGTTCACTATATGTGAATCTAGTCTAAGCCGACCGTGTCATGTTGTATTTTTCCCTTCAACAAATACCATATTTAAAATTCAATGATCAAAAATGTATTTTAACATTTTACATAATAGCAAACGATTAAAAAACTGTTGAATGAATAACTATATTTGAGTATTTGATTAAAACTTGTTAAAATGCAACCAAATTCATATTTATAATAAACGGTCTAATCATCGTTTTATAAGATTAAAAATGTTCATTAATGTTAAACTTTTGAAGGGAGATTAAAGCAAGCCCATTCATATAGACTTGGTCTAAAATAGACCACAATATTTTAGAAATGTGAGAAGAAAATTGAATAAACTAAGCAATTTTCTATGATGATACATTTAATAAATGATAATATAACATGTTTTAAAAATAAAATTAATTAGTATGAAGCAAGTAATTAAAGATTTTAAAACTTTGGAAGCCGACGTATGCAAGTGGATAAAATTAAAGCTCACAAAATCATGTTATATATGTATAAAGATAATTAAGAAGAGAGTGATTTTTTATTTAAAAAAAAAAAGGAAGAAAGAAAGAAAGAAATAGTGGTTTGAAGGGTACAACTTCTTTGTTCTTCTTTTTTAGATAAATTAGATTTATTCATCCTTCCTTAATTTCATGAAGAAGCCAGATGAGAAAGTAAAAAAACCATAACATATTGGCCTCATTAAGCAAGCTAATAAGAGAAATACGTTGGAAAATGAATATCTCCAAATCTTATTAAATCACCCCATGAATATTTCACATGTATAAAAGAAATAATTAGTTACTAACTAATCAAGTAATTATAACACGATATCTAATACAAGTTTATGAGCAACTTGGTTGGACCTTCTTCGCACACGCACAAACTGGATCTGAAAGAATAATTTTGCAAATCAATAGATATCCTTCACTCATATATTAGTTTCGTGAAGAACCTCAATTTTTCTCTTTATCAGTTCGATTGTTTGAAGAAAATCTTATTCAATTTGAAAATAGATTGGAAATTCGATTCGCTAGCCTAAAGCACTGAGGATTACCATCAATTCTACAATTAAATGTTCTAATACACTTTTACGTACTTTATCGTGGCAACACGAATTTCATCTTTCTCATTTTTGCAAATCGCTGCTATTCTAATATTGAAATTGGATCTTTTTACCGGCTATTTGCATCTGACCCAACCAGATTGGTACAACTCCTTCAATAGCTAGCCGTCATTGAATAAAAAGATATATACTCATCACAGATGTCGCTGGATTAACAAATAATATATATATTAAGATTAACCTTCAATCAAAATCCAAGTTATAATAAAAAAAGAAAGAAAGAAAGAAAGAAAAAGCCCAATCATACAATACAACAACAGTAAAATATAATAAATAAATAAATAAACTCAAATGCATCACGGAAATTTTGTAGAGTGTGGCTACATCGAAGATTCCAAATCTACGTTAATTTGAAAAAAAAAATCACAAAAAATAGAATATTCTCATCTTCACGAGAAAATTTTTGAAATAATCAATAAATAAATGTGACAGAGAGGGAAATTGATATTTTTTAGTACAAGAGATCTGGTGTGGCTGAGTTGCGTGTTCGATCTATTCAGAAAGAATCTTTCAAATCATGCATATCAAAATAGTTCATTACCAATTTCTCAAGAAAAGAAAAGAAAAAAAGACAACTGTACTTAAATTTTTTTTTTAATAGAACGCAATTTTGGAGATATAGAACATACCTTCCATCTAGAGCAAATTACTGCAATGTCAATTACTGCTGAACTATGTTAATATTCACGGTTATAATTTTGCTATATGTCATTTTAGTCCCTATGTTTCAAAATTTAATTATGTTTATAAAATATCCAACACTCCTCCAAGACGATACATAGTTCATCATTAAGTAGGTTGTCACTATGGTTTGAATTTATTATCTCTCTAAATTCTTTAAAATCTACGTTTGGTCCATTTGAATCATTATGCCAATCGAGGATGTTTAAAGATTTATATAAGAAATAAAATAAAACCAATATTGAATTGGTTTCCTTTTTGACATGAAACCAATTTTGAATTGAATGGCAAAATATTTTTTAATTTAAAAGGATAGGTGTACTATGGAATCCCAATAATGCATTAGCCTTAGGAAATATCCAATCTAAAACTGTATTTAGGCTAGGTTTAATTATAAACTTGTGTGAGTTATTTGGTTTAGTTGGGTCTATCATCAAAATAAAACTGTTTAATTAGAATATAAATGTTTAAATAATTTCATCAATTACATTATTTCGTTTCTTGGTAAATGATATTTATTAAAATGAAATTCTATAATCTAAATTCAGTAAGAGAATCAATCATCAACTCGAGCTTAACTTAACAATTTAGGTATTTACACATTTTCTTAAGGTCGAAAGTTTAAATTCACACTCTCTTATTTGTTGTATTATATAAAATAAAGAAAAAAAAATATCTTTCACGTTACGAATTATTAGTACTAGTATTTTCTACCTGCAATGTCAAATTGTAGGAATTAAAAGATTAATATATGGTCATCTCAACTAGATTGATGATATTTTATCATAAACAAAATTGTTGTTAACTTAGCACAATTCAACTGATTAAAGCATATATTATTAACTAAAATGCTGTGAATTCTTATCTCCACGTATTGTTGTACTACAAAAATTGTTACTATCTTAACACCCTCACTCCCTATCCAAAATTGTATCAATTATGTTAGGAAAAAAAATATATATAGCATGAAAAACTTGTTGCAATGAAACCATCAAAAAGTAAAAGAGAACTACTAGAAAATATAAAAATAATACAAAATTTCGTGGGAGTGAAAACATAAATTTAATAATTTAGGGCTCGTTTGATAATGTTCCTGTTTCTTCATTTTTAATGAAGAAAAATGAATTGCGTGGCTCCAACATCCATCAATTCAAGTTTGATAAAACAATCTTTTTAATTATGTTTTGAAAAAAGTAGAAATGGGAACAAGAAAGAAAAAACTTTGTTTTGATTGTTTCCAAAATTTTTATATAAATGTTCTCAAATAACGAGAAACAAGAAACAAAATTAGTTGTAAAATGCTTAGCTTTCTTAATCAAATTGAAAACCATAAACAAGAAACAAGATCATTACCCAACAAATCCTTATTGATTCAGTTGTTACTAATTAAGGTTGCGTGTTTGCAAGTGGTTTTGCCATTAGGAAGAAAATTGCAAATTGAATTTGATAAAATTCCTTGTAAAAAAGAGAGGAAAAAAAAGCAGATAAAATTCTCGTGGAAAAAAAAAGGAGAGAGAGAGAGAGAAAAGAAAAGGAAAAAGAAAAAAAAAAAAAAAAAAGACAAAACGAAGGTCAAGTCAAGTGGTTACTTTTTGAATTAATTCGTTTCCAAATCAGTCGCGTACTTTATTTTTATTTTGACAGCGATTAATGAGCGTAATTAATTTTTTTTAATAAGAGAGCGTAGTTAAATATAATTATAAAAATTATTTATAATAAATGTCATTTATTCACCTACTATACAAATTCATTAATCTATTGTTTGGGTCAAATTGACATTAGTTAGCGCATAATATTCCTGATTCATGTTTAAATTTAAAAATAAATGCTCCATCTTTAAATTAAATAAAAATAAAGCACTTAATCTCAACTACTTTTAGTAATGAAACTTATATTAAAAAAAGAAAGTAATTTAGTTCTAAAATCATTCTGTACTAAAAAAAAAGTTTAATTTCAAAATGTTTGGTAACGTCACAAATTTTATGGTACTACAAACTTATTTCTATGCAGTGATGAATAAACTTAATTGTGGAGTTGTAGCATCAAATAAGGAATCCTAAAAAAGTAGTCTTTACAACTCTAATTTATAATATGGGTAAGAAAATAGAATATGTATAAGAAAATAGAAGATTTGAATCCCTGCCTTAATGATAAATTCAAAAGAAAAAAAATCTAACAATTCTCTAAAAATAGAAATTTCTTTATTTGAAATATAACTCAAACATTTTTTTTTCTTCCTTCTGTATAATAACCCAACTTATATTAGGTTACCTAAATCCTATGTAACAAATAGATATTTAAGAATGATCACTCTTTTTTTTATCCTTTTCAATGTTCTATCCCAACTCTTAATTAAATTTTTTTTCCCATTAAGCATGGTATAATTAGTCAATTTTGTCCTTATCATTATTATTTTTTTAAATCAAATATATTATGAGGCCTGAGTTGGACAAAACTTCAAAATATTTGTTTACACATACATATTTTCATCAAATAAATGAGTACAAAAACCTTGTCTATATTAAATTTATATTAAATAATTTATATAGAATGGCAAACACAAATTTAATTTAACTAATTAAAACGATTCTTTTCAAGTCAGAGGTTAAACTTCTCACCACCAATTTTTTTGTACTAATAAACTTACCAAAAATAATTTATAAGGACTAATAATTTATAAAAATTGGCAAACATAAACCTAACTAAGTGATTCTTTTGAAGTCAGAGGTTTAATTTCTCAATCACCAAATTTTTTGTATTAATTAATAAACTTACACAGAATAAATTATAAGGATCAAAATAATTTCTTAATATTAGATTTAAACGTTAAAATAGAATGTTTGATGAATAACTAGTAATTTAACGCAATTGAAAGTACGACTACTTGTGAGATGATACAAAATATATATATATATATATATATATATATATTTCTTTTGAGGGAAGATGATACAAATATATTTAGGAGTGAAACCAAAAATTTCGAAAGTTCATAACGATGAAATATAAGCGATGAAATATAAGAAAGCAATTGAATAATACGGGTTCATGTTGAGGTTGGTCCCTCAAGTTTAAATCCTTGGTTGGAGATTGAAATGATGTCATTTTCTATTTTTGGGGACAAAATTTGACAGAGACTTTCCAATCTTTATACAAGAGAATTGTGATTTGATTTTGGGTTCTCAGGTGTGATTTGAGAGATCATGCGTCTAAAATTATAATTTTCTTTATATTTCACATTAAAGAAAGAGGTTTAGTATTATAATGATGTAGAAGTAAATATTTAAATTTTTACAGTTTTTTTCGTACACTTTGTGCGGTGAAAATTAGAACTCATAATTTTTTGGTCGGAGTTAGATACCTTAATTAGTTGAGCTATACTCAATTTGAAAAGAGTAAGAATGTGTAATTCGACTGAAAATTTAACGAATTGAGTTATGGTTAAGTTGAAATTTGAACCGTTAGTAATATATGTGGTATATTATTTGATTCTTAATTCCTTTAATTTCAATAAAGTTTTTTCAAATTATTCTCTTTCCCAAACTAATATCTTGAGTCTATCTTTCCAATTTTATTTATCTTGTTCTTCTCTCTCACGCTTATCTCATTTTAATTTTTTTCTTTTAAACTTTTTTTTTCATCTGTTAAGATTTGTGAAAATGAAAAACAAAATGTCATAATAATAAAATATTAAAAAGCTAACAACGATAGATATAATAATAAGAAATCAAATTATGACATAAATAGTAGTGATGTTGGAATGACAATAGAAAAATAGAAAAATGAATGATTAGTGGATAAACAAACTAAATAAAGGGAGCATAACCAGCCATAATTGACATATATCTCAAACTAAGAGGTTGCGAGTTCGAACCCCCATCTCCTGCTAAAAAAAAAAAATTGTAACACAATGAATAAAAAACCGAATTAGTTAAAGCATCTATTTCCAACCCAAAGGTGTTGAGTTTGAATTTCCATTCTAGGAGACACGTGCCCCTTAAAATTAGATTAAATTAATATATTAATACCTCTAAAAATATATTTGGAAAACAAATCTGTTTGGGGTAAAAATACTTGGGACACGTGAAGGACGCTCATTGGTGTTCCAGGAATAAAGTATCCCAGGTCCACCTCGAACTTGCCGAGGAGACTGGGTTTGCCCATCGACAAGGCTGTGTAAAAAGCCCTGGTCCGACCTGGACGGGTTAAATCTGTTCAAACCCGACAGGTTCGACATGAAAAAGGACAAAGGTAACTGTCGGTCGTGAGTACTGTCGGACCCGTCACCTATAAATAGAGGGCATCATTTCCCGCTTAGGTAGAAAAATCTCATCTCGAACTTTATATTGAGCCCGACCTATACTGACTTGAGGTCAAACCGGGAACCGGGTTCGAGCTTGGTTCGTTTAACAGCGTTGTGCAATTCTTTGCATAAACAAAATCATTATTTTTTACTAAGTTATATTATTTTCAAGCGTAACTTTAAATTTCATGAAATTGAATCTTAGCCTTAAATAAATAAGTCTTGCAATTTCTACCCTCGGTTAGGTTTTGCTAATTCACCTATTAATTTAAAAAAAGAAACAATATAAAAAATTAAAAGAAAGACTCACTAATTTAGTAAAAATCAAAATTTACTCAAAATAATCCAGCTTCAACTTATAATTTAGAATAAACATTTCCATCTCATACCAAATATATATTCGCTTTAGAATACATTTTTTCACGTAAATATCAATCCAAGTTTATGAAATTAAAAATATAAGATAAAAATTGATATATATTGCACCATTAGGTTTATATGGATTTATGGACAAATATGTATTCGAAACTATTCGGCAGTGCAACATAATTGATATTACTCACAAACGCATAACCAAAAAAGGGAAAAAAATAAAACTTTGATACAAGTAAATATAGCATTAATTTTGACCCACAAAAAAATGTTGGTAACTTAGGCTTTTATGTTAGATGAGATGTATGTTTCGTGGAAGAAAAACAAAACAGAATTTAATGTTAGGTTCATGAAACAGAGAGATCCGACAGACATTTGCTGACGCTAAATCTGTGTTTTCTGTTCTTTGATGGGACGGTCCAGCGAATCCATGTTTTTCCCTTTTCTTTCCCATTTTTCTCCTCAAAAATTAAAATTAAACTAATAATTGAATTCGACTATTCATTCTAACTTGCAAAATTTTACTGGGACAGAGACAGCCTCGAAACGACGTCGTCAACCATGTATTCCACGTGGCTAAATGCTTTTTGCGGTGGTCGTCAGAGGTGGGGCCTACTCCTCTCTTTTTTGTTCCTGCAGCGTCACGCTCCTGCGCGGCGGCGCGTGTTACTTCTACCATGTCCGATGGTCGAACAAGTTCGACCGGTCGCTTCCGTCACGCGCCGCCGTCCCCCTTCAACCCCAGAATAATTATCATTAATTAATTATGGCTAAATTAATTTTAAAAAGATTTGAGACTATTTAATATATTTAGCGGCTAATTGAAATAGTAGTAATAATTATAAAAGATTGTATTATGTTTTTAGAAAAAGAAAAAATAGGGATAGTTGATGAACTGTGAACGTTGGTAATTGGGCCGCATCTTGAGTGGTCCAATTGAGTTGCTGTTATCCATTTTGCCCTTCCCAAATCCAATCTTCCCTTGTTTGTCTAGTACAATTTTATTATCTTCAATTAACTAATTTTAATTAGTTTCCTCGTGTGTTTGATTTAATATTTTAGAGATTAAATTTCAAATTTAGTTCCTCTGCTTTCAAAACTGTGCAGTATTGATTTCTCTCACAATGTGACTTTTGCCATTCTAATCCCATGTTATCTAATAACAATATTTTATTTTAGAAAATTAAATAATGATGATGACGTGTAAAAATAAAATAGTTAACAAATGAAATATAAATTTATTAGTTTATAGAAAATCACATGTACTAAAGAAAATATTTTTGGGAGGAACGTGATTGGCTTTTATAGGATGACTAATTTTCAAATTGGTGATGAGTTTACAAATCGATTGGAAGGAACATGGACATACTATAAAATTTTGGAGCGTTTTGTATAATTTAACTTTATGTAACAAGGTACTAAAAAAACAAAAATAAAAATTTTATATAAAAAAGATATAAATGATAGATCGATTTATCGATTTTTTCTTTCCATTTATATTTGCCCACATTCTCTTGAGTATATTTTTCACTCTTTTTCTTTTTTCGTAATATAATTAAAATCTTAGTCAAATTTTAAAAACAAAATAAAATTTTGAAAACTATTTCTTTTAGTTTTCAAAATTTGACTTTTCAAAAAAATTGATAACAAAATAAACTAATATACAGATAGGAAGAGTGGTTGCAAGCTTAGTCTTTAAAAATAGGAAATAGAAAATAAATTGTTTATAAAAAGTTAAAACGGGCCTGAGTAGTAGGGTTTGAATTTTGAAAATTCTTTTCTATTTTTTATTTGTTTGAATTTTAAACTTGATTGATTAGCCATAAGTATGGAAACGTTATATCAAGTGGAATTTCGATTATTTGAGGATTCCTATTCCAAAGAGGAGAAAGATAATTCACACGTCTCATCTCATCTCCCTATCAAGTATAAATAGTGAACAGTGAATACCGAACGTATAACCTCACTACTTCAAAACGCGCTTTTAAGTTTTATATTATCTTTATCTCTAAGTTTAAATGGCTGTTCCCGGCAAATCGATTCTTGCCATCGCCATCGCCCTCCTTTGTTCTTCCCTTCTTCTTCCCTCACCATCCAATGCTCACCTCCTCAAGGCCTGCAAGTTCGACGCGATTTATCAATTGGGCGACTCTATATCCGATACTGGAAACTTAATTCGCGAAAATCCTGTTACTCCTTTTTCCCACTTGCCTTATGGAGAAACCTTCTTCAAAAATGCTACCGGTCGCTGCTCTAATGGCTTGCTAATGATTGATCAATTCGGTAACATCCTTTAACACATTTTCCCTGCCTCTACTTTGTATCTTCTGTTTTCAATTCAAATCGATAATTTAAGTTTGTTGTTTCTACTTTTATAGCTTTGGCGGCTGGACTTCCTCTTATCAATCCTTATTTGAACAAAGACGCATCGTTTACTCATGGAGTGAATTTTGCAGTGGCCGGCTCTACAGCTTTGTCTTCTCAAGTTCTTGCTCAGAAGATGATCTTGTCTCCTGCCACCAATTCATCTCTAACTAAGCAACTTGATTGGATGTCTACTCATTTTGATACTATTTGTTCTCATCATAAAGGTTTGTATGTATTTAATTTCAAATCCTTCCTTCCAGCATTTTAGTATATTCCACCTATAAATTTTATCTCTATCTTATAGATTGCACAAAGAAGTTGAATGATGCTTTATTTTTGGTTGGTGAGATTGGAGGGAACGATTACAATTATGCTCTATTTCAAGGCAAAACCATTGAAGAAGTTAAAAACATGGTGCCTGAAGTTGTTCAAACTATTAAAGACGCCATCATAGTATGTCTCTTTTTTTTTCTTCCTTTTGAATACATTTTTGCTTTATATGAATTAGAAGTTCTTATTTATTTTTTTTCTTCCTAATTGTGTGTTTGTAGAAAGTCATAAGTTATGGTGCTGTTCGAGTTATTGTGCCAGGAAACTTTCCAATAGGTTGTCTACCAATCTATCTTACTGGATTTCAAACCAAGATTTCTACCGCTTATGATGAGCTTCACTGTTTGAAGGATTTGAACAATCTTGCAAATTATCACAATAAGCATCTTAAACATGCTATTAAATCCTTGAGAAAAGATAATCCAAATGTCATGATTGTATATGGTGATTATTATAATGCATTCTTGTGGGTTCTTCGACATGCTTCCTTACTTGGTATGCTTCTTAAACACTCTTAAACGCTATCTATGTTTAATTATACAGAATTATTATATGTCTAATTAAATCGATGTCTTATATCTCTAACAGGATTTGATGAAACATCCTTGCAAAAATCTTGTTGTGGGATTGGAGGTGATTATGACTTCAACTTAATGCAAATGTGTGGACTTCCTGGAGTACCAGTTTGCTCAGACCCTAATGAACGAATTAGTTGGGATGGAATTCATTTGACACAAAAGGCGTACAAATTCATGGCATATTGACTCATTCACCACATGTTTCCAAAGCTTCGTTGCATAGTTTAAATTAGTTTAGTTTTCTTTCTAATGCTAATTCAGTACATTTTCATATTGTCAAAAAGTATTCATGGTTATATTCGAATAAATTTTAACATTTTCTCTCTCAGACGATTTTCTCACTTCCAAAATATTTAGTTTGTTGGTGGTTAAAACAAATGAGAGGAATATTTTATTTAAGAAAGATTATGTTAAAATGAAAATTTGATGCGACATAATTCTATATACTACAGTGAATGTGATTGATAAAGAACGAGAAGATAAAAATATAATGATTGATGTGACCACGAATTTAAAATTTCACATAAAAAATACTTGAAGTGTCTCATTTATTATTATTATTATTTAGTACAACATATTAAATGAGAATTAAACTGATAATTTTTTAATTTGAGATATATGTCAATTACGACTGATTCTCTTTAGTCATTAAATAGTTTTATTAGTCATTCGTGATTTTGTTTTCTATTCCTGGTACAACATTGTTAATTAAATGAAAAAGAAGTGGAGTATGCCAACACGAGGACTGACAGGCAATGTTTGCTACCACTTTGCCCTTATTCGTCTGTTTTTTTTCTTTAAATTCAATTTTCTCTTGTTTGTCTAATACAAATACGTTTTGTCCTTTGTTGTTACTTTAATATTTCAAAGGTTACATCACAAATTTAATTCTTCAACTTTTAGATTAAATTTACGATGGTCCTAATATTTTATAAAATTAATTTACGATGGTCCTAATCTTTTATAAAATTTATTGACCTATTAGAAATAAAATTTAATTTTATATTTTATAAGCCATGACATTTCAATAAAAAATTCATTCAACAATCAAATTTTGGAAGTACGATAAATTTTTTTTATCTTTTAAGAAGAAAAATATTTTGATCGGTCTTTATTGTTCTTGTAGCTACACCCTTTTATGAACATATTTTTCTCAAATTCTTTTTATTTTTTTAAATTAAAACTTTTTTATCTTAATTTTTACCACCTTGGCCAACAATTTCTTTTTCTTTTTTTTATCGTTAATGAGGTTATTGATTTGGAAAGATATTGGTTGGTAGGGAGCGCATTTCATTCTTCTTCTAATCCAATTCCATCTATTTGCAAATTGGAGACTGGACACACAAACAATGTCGTTGCGCAGGGATGCAATTCGCCTAGCTGGGAGAAACAAAGTGGTCCGACCGATTAGGAATGCGAAGGCTACCAGACTTTTCTCATGATCTGTACCTTCCCACACAGTATTTTAACTAAAATTCCAAATCCTAAATTTGCTTCCCTCTAAAATTTTTCAATTTTTTTTCACCTTACATTTGTGTTTGACCTCCAATGTTTCCAATTCTCCCATCATACTTTTGCCTTTCTTTAATTTTAACATCAAAGTTGGTTGTTTTGAAATAAAAGATTAAAACAAAATGATAAGGGCATGATTGAAATATATCATTTGTGTCCATGTGTAACATCATTTTTACCCACACACATTTCTATATTCACTTTAATAAAAAAGTTCACAAAATTGTTGTTTTGAAAAAAATGAAAAGTTTTCTTTAATTATTGGAATGGAGACGAAATCAATTGGAATGAACGATTACAAAAACTATTAATAATTACTAAAATATTCCTTTCATATTTATAGTTAATTAGGAAAACATTAATAAAATGCGATGTTAATATTTATTTTTTTAATTAAAATAAGAGTAAATAATAATAAATTTTAATTTATTTTACTACTATTTTATTGTTTTTTCTTTTTGACAATAACATTTTTATGGTAACAAATTATTTAATATTAATAAGTAATAAATAACTAAAATAAAATGATCAACTAAAAGGATTAATTAATTTTTATTAGAATAACAACCATTAATATAAAAGTTTATATTTTTACTAAATTAATATACAATTGTATTCTTATAATATTTATTAATAAGGAATTCAATTAAAAAAATTTATTGATAGTAATTAATAATAACTAAGTTGAATTAAATATAAATTTGTAATATTTTATAGTAAAATCACATAAACTAAAATTAGTACAATTTTTTATTAGAAGAACATATAGATTAAGTTTTATTGTATATATTTCAAAAAAAAAAAATAATCATACAGGTTTTCTAAAGACAATATTTTTATTTCAACAAATTAAATAATAAACAACGACTGATTAAAATAAAATAGTTAACAAATGAAATATTAATTCATGAGTTTATAAAAAAAAGTCACATGTACTAAAGTCAAAAGCAAGTAGAGTTCGTGGTAATTCTCATTTGATCCCTCATTCTCATATGTTATACTAAAAAAAATTAATATCATTTTTTTATTAGAATAAAAAAATGTTTGATGTATAAATAAAATAAAAAGAACAAAATTATAAAACTATTAATAAAAAGGCATAGGCCTCATTAATATATTAGATAGAAAAGGCAAGAGTCGTAAAATAAATGATAAATAGGTATAGACCCACTGAAATTGCTCAAAGGGAAGAAGATGATCTCACTAAATAGGTATAGACCCACTGAAATTGCTCAAAGGGAAGAAGATGATCTCACTGAAATTGTATGGGTTATCGACGAAATCTTGGACTTGAAGAATTCTTGTGGTGTTTTCTGTTTTGACAAGGTGGATAGAGATGGCATTTTTTGTGCCCACTCTATTGCGTGCAGGACTCTTGAGGTTGAGGAAAGTAATTGTTGGAAGTTGGATATCTCAGAATGGTTGACGGTTGACTATGTTGGCCTCTCAAGATTGTTATACTATTTCTCAATGAACTGCTATTTTTTCTCTTAAAAAAAAGTATAGACCCACACTACAAAGGAGAGATTGATGGCATTTTTGGGAAGGAATGTATAGCTACCTCTTTTTAAGAGTAATTCTCAAATGGGTAGTAGGTTTACCAATTGATTCAATTAAAATGGAATGAAAATTTCGGCACGAAAGTTCAGGGGTAAAATCCTTAGTGATATATTGAAAAGGTCAGAGACATTTCTTTTTAGAGTAGACATAATTGAAGCCTACCCTAAATTTCAAGGACATTAAATGATTAATCTACAAAATCTAAAGTTGTTTGATGACCATTTATTTATTTATTTTTCTATTTCTAAAAGTCATGCTTATTTTCCCCCACATTTTTCGCAACTTTTGAAAACAAAAATATTTTTGGAAATTACTCCTTTTGGTTTTATAAATTCGGCTTAACTTTCTTAAATAACAAAAAATACATCCATCAAAGTAGTGGTGGTAAATTTAATTTTCAAAAATAGAAAAATAATAAATAAATAATTATCAAAGGCATAAGTAATACGATTTTAATTTTGAACTTGATTTATTATTATTATTATTATTTGAGATACCTGATTTATTATCTTTTGACATATGGTTTTATCACAAAATATCTTCAGAGACCACAGAGTTAGCGATAAACATGGAAACGTTATCTTTGTCCTCCTTGAAATAGGAATTCTCAAATAATTTTTTTTTCTTTCCGAAACCTTCTAGGAAGGAATTTAAATTATTTTAGGATTTGTAATTCAAAGAGGAGTCGGATGTATTTATTCACACATCTGATCAGCTCCTTATAAATACCCCAATTACCTCAACTGCTTCAAAACTCACTTTCTCTGATTTTCAGCTCAACGTTCCTTCTTCAACACTACAATGGCTGTTCCCACCAAATCCATTCTCGCCACTGCCTTCATTTGTTTGTTTCCCCTTCTTCTCCCCTCACCGTCCAATGCTCACCTCCCCAAGATTTGCAGGTTGGACGCGATTTATCAATTGGGCGACTCCATATCCGAGAAACTTAATTCGCGAAAATCCCGTTACTCCTTTTTCCCACCTGCCTTATGGAGAAACCTTCTTCAAAAAGGCTACTGACCACTGTTCTAATGGCTTACTAATGATTGATCAATTTGGTGAGTCTTTTTAATACCTTTTCTCTGCTTTTTATCTTCAATTTTCGGTTCATATCGATAATGTAAGTCTGTTGTATCTACTTTTACAGCTTTGGCAGCTGGACTTCCTCTCATCAACCCTTATTTGAACAAAGAGGCATCATTTAAGTATGGAGTGAATTTTGCGGTGGCTGACTCTACCACTTTGTCTTCTCAAATTCTTGCTCAGAAGTGATCTTATCTCCTGCCACCAATTCATCTCTAACTAAACAACTTGATTGGATGTCTACTCATTTTAATACTATTTGTTCTCGTCACAAAGGTATATATAATTTTAATTTCAAATCATTTGTTTAAGCATATTTTAGTTATATTCTATCTAGAAATCTTTTCGCTTACTTATATTGATTCTATCTTATAGATTGTATCGAGAAGTTGAATGACGCTTTATTTGTGGTTGGTGAGATTGGAGGGAACGATTACAATTATGCTCTATTCCAAGGCAAAACTATTGAAGAAGTTAAAAATATAGTGCCTGAAGTTGTTTAAGCTATAAAAGATGCTGTTACAGTATGATTTTTCTTTTTCTTTTTCTTTTTGAACTACGTTTTTGCTTTATATGAATTAGAAGTTCTTATATATATTTATATATTTTTTCTTTTCGTAATGGTTTGTTTGTAGAAAGTCATAAGTTATGGCGCTACTCGAGTTATTGTGCCAGGAAACTTTCCAATAGGTTGTCTACCAATCTATCTTACTGGATTTCAAACCAAGAATTCTACCGCTTATGATGAGCTTCACTGTTTGAAGGATTTGAACAATCTTGCAAATTATCACAATAAGCATCTAAAACATGCTATTAGATCATTGGGAAAGGATAACCCAAATGTCATGATCGTATATGCTGATTATTATAATGCACTTTTGTGGGTTCTTCGACGTGCATCCTTACTTGATATGCTACTTGACAATCTTATATGTTTATTTTTATAGAATTATTACATATCTAATTAAATCGATGTCGTATATCTCTAACAGGATTTGATGAAACATCCTTGCAAAAGTCTTGTTGTGGGATTGGAGATGATTATGACTTCAACTTAATGCAAATGTGTGGACTTCCTGGAGTACCAGTTTGCTCAGACCCTAATGAAAGAATCAGTTGGGATGAAATTCATTTGACACAAAAGGCGTACAAATTCATGGCATATTGGCTCATTCACCACATATTTCCAAAGCTTCGTTGCATAGTTTAGATGAGTTTAGTTTTCTTTCTAATGCTAATTCAGTACATTTTCCACATTGTCAAAAAGTATTCATGGTTATATCAGAATAAATTTGAACATTTTTCTCTCAGACCTCTTTCTCACTTTCGAAATATTTAGTTTGTCCGTGGTTAAAACAAATGAGAAGAATCTTTTGTTTAAGAAATATTTTGTTAAAGTGAAAATTGAGAAGAATCTTTTGTTTAAGAAATATTTTGTTAAAGTGAAAATTGATGCCTCACAAAATTCCATATACAATAGTTAACGAGAGCGAAAGCACTGTTGAGATTATGCCTTGTTCTATTTAATTTGAGATTTTTTTCTTTTTGAGATAGATTAGTCATTTTATTGGTGTGCATAATTTTAGTTTTTATTATACCATCTATTATAAATAGAGATAGAGATAAATTGGTCATTTTATTGATGTGCACAGATAGAGAATCGTGAAAATTCTTCGAGAAGTGAAAATTTGAAAGTTAAATACTTGTGCATCCGTTCGATAGTTTGAAAGACTTGTAGAGCAATTCGTGAGCATTTTCTATGTGAGGAAAAATAGAGAAAAAATGAGACTTGTAAATATTTTAGTAGAACCTGCAACGGTAGCAGAGATAGTCCACACGGAATGAACAAATATAAATCCGACGTTTAATTTTCTTCTCCCTAATATTTATTTATCGGGYAATTTTTTTTATTTATTTATCGGGCAATTTTTTTCACAAGCAACTCACAGTCAAAACAAAATCTTGTGAATTTTTCTTAAAATGGGCTATAAACTATTCTAAGAAGAACCAACAAAACAAAATGATCACGACCCAACTACCTACCATGAATTCAACTCCCAATCAAATTAGAGAACGCATAGAACAAAAAATTACGAAAACAAAATATAAACAATTTAGAAGAGAAATAAGAATATGAATATGTATACAAATTGATCAAAAACCAACTCCAACGGTCACGATTGGCGCACTCCAAGATTGAGTCTCCTCAGCCACACAGAGTGCAGGATCATGTGGTACACATCAAATCTCTTGGCCGGAGAGTTGACTTCAAAGTGCCGCCGCACGTTGACCACTCTCCGGTACATTCTGAGATACTGCCGCGTCGAAATTCCGGTGAGGATCGTCTTCAAATTGGGGATGTCCCGGACGGGGACTTGGACGGAGAACGATTTCCAGTTGAGGACGTCGCTGAACGGCGGGACGTAGTGGTCGGAAATCAGGACCGGAACGCAGCCGGTGTAGATGGCCTCCACGATTCTGGGGCTGGCAACTTCATATCCGCTGGGGCAGAGGCAGAATTTGCTCTTCCTCATCATCTCCATGTAAGACACTCCTTTGGGGAGGTACTGGTGGACTCGGATGTCGTCGTCTCGATTCTCCCACTGCTGGATTAGAATTGGCCTTATCGGGCCGTGGAGGCCTCCGGCGAAGAATGCCAGAATCGGGCGGCGGGATGGAGACGGGCCGCCAAGAAATCCGGTTAAGAAACCCGTCTGGAGATTGATTTCAGGGAAGGATACGTCCTTGGAGGGGTTGAAGCCCTCGGAAGTGTTGGCATTGCAGAGGACTCTGATTGAGTTTTTGTACAAATGGGGAACTGATTTTGAAGCCTCTGGGCCCTGACTCCAACAAAAAACACAAATGGGAATATGAATAAAACATTGAATTCTTTTTTAAGGCACCCGCACCCCCACCACAAAGCCCAGATCTAAGAGACATCGAAGGTTTTGATAATAAATTCACCCACCCACCAAGAGACCCCAAACCATTGCCAATCGAGCGGAATAAAACATTGAATTTTAAAGTAAAGAAGTAGTTTTTCGGTTTTTACCCAATCGTGGCACGAGAGCATGAAATGATCAGCGCCGAGTGTGCGATTCCAGAAGGGGTGTTTGGTTCCGATGACATTGACATAATCAACGACGGTGTGTCGAATTGGAGAGAAATCATGAGAGTTGGAGACGTACACGAACCGAACAAGCATGGCCACGCTTACGGGGAGGAAGAAGAGATTGGCCTTGTCGGGATCTTTGGTTCGAAAGCGGGAGTCCATTTCGATGGCATTGATGAAATTGCCTTCGGTCGAGTAGATGCTCTTGCAGGGGCCATTGTGAAACAGGGGAGGCTCCCCTTCTTCATACACAAAGATCTTCAGCTCTTTCTCCATTTCCAAGTAGCTCCTGCAATTGCAGTGAGTTTTGGGGTCATTTTTTTAACTAATGGATTTGTGATTTTACTTTCTTTTAGCTCAACATCACGTCAGGTGGATATTCGAATCTTCGAACAAGGTCATGGATCCTAACCAAAACAATATGAAAAATATTTCTATTTGAAAGAGAAATACTTGACTCCTTAATAGTAAGAAAGATACTTCCTACTTATCATTGAAGGATGAAGAGAGATGCAAAATCAATAACTTTTTATAGAAGTTAATTAGTTATATGCTGTCAAATTTTCAATGATGGTAAGAACACGGTAGTAGTAAAGACAACTGTTGAGAGCTAAAGTATTTTTCTATTTTTTTATTGAACTTTTAATGTCATTGGTATTCAGTATAAGCATGTGTTTTATTCATTTCTTTCATGGACAAATATTTCAAGACGTGTATAATAGATCAAATGTCCGATTTGAATTTCAATAAATAGTTAATGGAAAACTAAAGTTCAAACAAGAAAATAGCACTTAAAATTGGATGGAAAGTTAAACAATAACAAAATAATAGGCATCATTGCATTTTGTTGACCAATTTCAATCCCATTAATGACAGTGTTATTGGAAGAACAAACAAGTTATAAGTCCCAAGAAGAAACTGAAACTTTAGGAAATGCCAACAATGAAATAGACAAAAAACAGCAAGAAATCCCTCTATAATTTACCATAAAAGAAATTACTAAATTCAAATATTCCATCCACATCAAAAAAAAAAAAAAAAAAAGTAAACTTTACCTATGAAATGCTTTGGCATTCCAATACATTGGCCCAGCCGGAACAAAATCAGGATCCTGGGTTTGGTTTTGGAACTTGGCCTCTCTAATGGCGGCTCTCGCTCTTCTAAGCCCCGCTTCGATTCTCTCCAATTTCGTAAATTCCCTCTGCCTTCTGGCTTTCACCGCCGCCCCATCTGAAGAAACATTTCTTCTCACTTCATTAATGGCGGTTTCTCCCAAACCTTCGTTGACTGTCGTGTTCTGTTCAGATATTATTACACATCCAGATCAGCTTAATTAACACTTTCCAAAACCCTGCAATTTTTCTCACTGAATTACCGAAATATACATGCAGATAGAGAAATCGAAACAGAATCTTACAGGAATTTGCAGAACACTGTTCTGTTTTTCATTGATCGGTTGTGGTGGCGGAGGAGAAGAAGAAAAAACAGAGTGGTTCGAAACAGAGTAATAAGAGATAGGTGGCTGTAGTCGTTTTTTCTCCACGGTCTGATCGGGCTGCGGCGGCGCCGTCGTATTTGAACGGAAATCCTCTGTTTCGGAGGAAGCAGAGCCCCACTCCGACGAGAACCGAGGACCCAAAAAAACAAGAAGACAAGTAAGAGCGATGAGAGGAAGCACAGATATTGGCAACTTCATCTCTGTAAAAAATGGAATTTGGGAGAAAACTGGTTGCAGAGTTAATGGATTGGCATGTTAAAAAGGATGAGAAAGCAGAGAGAGAGAAAAAAATTTGGGTTTTTTTTTTACAGATTGTGTTGTGGCTGTGGCCATAAATAGTTGCATCATCAGTGCCAAGCGTCAAGCTGTTTTCTTTACTTGTTATTTTTCTTCATGCAATCTTTAGTTATTCCCATTATACCCCTCGTCTTTCCATGTAATTACACCTCTCTCGCTTTCATTTACTATTCAACGTTTTCCATTCAACTGATTTGGTTCTATGATATTTAATTTAGTTTAAACAAAATGATGAAATATAAATAACATACTATACTAATTAATGGGTTTGTAAGGTTTTGTTTAAGATTCTTAAATGTATTTTTGACCATATCATAATATCCGATGCCTCTTTTCCAAGAGAGAGAGAGAGAGAGAGAGAGACAGCTTTTTGTTTCTCTCTCTCTCGTGCATGCCACCTCTCATTTACTTCTCAAATGGGGCAGTGAAGTCCAAAGCTTTAACAGGGCCTTTTTTTTCTCTTTCTTTTTGTTATTATATTTTTCAAATCAAACGAAGGAGAACATAAATTACAATAAATTGGTGTTCTTGATATGGAGATATGAATGAATTAATGTTGTTGATCCAATAAAAAAAATATAGGATTCGTGACTTTTCTTCTTTTAACACGTGGGGTGGGATATCGAACTGACAAAACCTCTTAATTGGAAATATATACTAATTTTAATTGAGGTACCAGATTCAAGATTCATTGTCTAAAACGAGGTTTTAAATTAATTCATTTTTGGATGAATTTAAACAATTCTTTGAAAGTGGGAAGAGAAAAAGCGTATGTGTGTGTATATGTATGTTTTATTGGAGATATATAATACCGAAGATTAATTAAATTTAAGGGTGTGATGTTAATTTGGTGGTGATTAATTAAGTTGAGTTAATCCTGGTCATTACTAAGGCATTAAACGCACCGGCACCGCCGCATCGGAAACTGGTGGTGGCCACCGTCAGTTTAAGTCAGAGTGCCAGAATATATGGTAGCACATTAACTATCCCATGAAACATATATTCTCTAATAACCTGAAAAGCAAGATATCCTTAATTAATTAATTAATTAATTAATTAAATAAATAAATAAATAAAAACCTAGAGTACGTCAACCAAACACCAACTTGTTTAAAACATATATCTTCGATCAAAAAGAGTTCCGGTTTAGATCACAATTGGACTCACCTCAAAATTTTTAAAGCTTATAGTTCAATTTTTTTTAACAACATTATCAATCTTATTCTCATTTCTTGTTCTATAGCCTCGTTGACAGAGAAATTTCCGCTAATCACTAAATGCCACGTAACAAAATTAAAATTATATTTAGGACCAATCACAAATTTACACGTGTCCTAAATTAATTTTTAAATCAAGAAATTAAATTGATCAAAACTCGAGACTGGGCCCAAGCTGATGGCCCATTAAGTCGATTGTCAACCCACCAAGACTCTATAAATAGATGGTCACCGAAGAATTGGAAGACCCAAGCAGCAAAATCTTCGTCAAACTGACTGAAGAACTAGCCAAAGAACTTCAACAAGCTGCAAAGTCGAAGCACTTCACAAGCTGCAAAGTCGAAATACTTCACCAACGCAAAGCCGAAGACTTCACAAAGTCTTTATCAAGCCACAAGCCAAAAAACTTCATCAACAAGCCAAAGAACTTCATCAACAAGTCAAAGTCTTCAAACAAACTCAAAGTCGAAGACTTCAAAGATCAGCCATTGAATTAAAGTTTACATTTGAGAGAATTAATTAGAGGATTATACATTAGAGATTGTAACATCCACGTACATAAATGCAAATACAAGTTCATTAATTCTTGAGTTTTCTCTCGTTGAATTTCTCGTCGAACAAGCCTCTACACATTTTCAATAATTATCTTAACTTAACGGATAATTAGCACCTGTTTTTGAAGAGAGGTTATGAATTCGAATCTAAACTCCCACTTATTCTATTAAAAGAAAAGTTGGGAATGTCATTTCTTTGTCTTATCAATTGTTTAGATAAATTTCTATAAGGTCGAGATTGTTTTACTATTAGTAGGGTTCTTTATATAAAAATATTCTTATTTGTCAATAATATGTGTGTGCACTAAAATACAAATTTACCACTCTTAAATTATTGACGTGGTTTTACTATTGGTAGGTTTCTTCTTTTAAGTTAACATATTTTTATCGGTTAAAAAATATTTGTTGTCTCCCTACCTTCGTTGGAATAACAATTAGTCTCTCTACTTTCAAATTTGTGACAATTTAGTTCCTGAAATTTACTACGTAACAATTTCTTTCTTGAAGTTTAAAGTTTCTAACAATTTAGTTTTTATTGTGAAATATTTTATTGAATTTCTTATATATGTAGATTAATAAACCGATGAATGATCAAATTTATTCAAAAATTACAAAAATGAACTCGTTATATGATAAAAATTGACGTTTACTTCTAATAAGAATTTTTTTTTTGTTAAGAACTAAATTACTAAAAATTTTAAACTATAAAGACTAAATCGTTACATATTAAAGTTCAATGACTAAATTGTATTACCCATATCAAAGTATTAAACATCATTATCACTGAGAATTTATGCTCAAATTAACATTATATTTATACAATTTCTACCTTTGCGATATGTAAACTCAAGTAAAGTGATAATTATTTTTTATACACAACAAAATTATAATTAAAATTTTATAACTAAATCATATTTTATGGTTTTCAGACCTCGTAGTTATTATAAATATTCTTAATTTACATTTTGGAAATAAGTTTAAATATTATTTTACTTTATAATATTGTACATTAGTTTTTTTTTTCAATTAAATCCTTATGATTACTTAATATTAAAAAATGACAATCTACGAATTTAAAAGTAAGACTTTTTTTTAATGAAGTTGCCCATTTTTAGTTTACCAATATTTTCAAAAGGTCAATTTACTTGACTAAAAAAGGGTGATTTGCTAAAATAATGAAGAATTTTTTTATCTATGCTGAGTCATATGAATTAATTTCATTTTTTTAAATTTATTTGAGTGATAACTGATGTCTATTTCATCAAATTAAAATATAGAATATTTTCATTCATATTATAAGTGATGTCTATTTCCTCAAATTAAAATATAGAATATTTTCAAGATAATGAGTATATTGATATCAATTAATTAAACTTTTTATATATGACAATAAGGGCTTATTTGAAAATTCAATCTCTTGGAATGAAAACTTTAAAGTGATTAGAAACCAATTGAAAAATAACTTAAATTTTAAAAGAAAAATAACAAACTTCTAAACTTTATTTCCTAAAATCCATTTGTTAAGTAAATATTTACTTAATTTTATTTCTTTGGTCAAGTTCTCCACTGCCATAATCGTAAACAAACTTACTTTTCAAATTTGTGGGTGAGGACTAGACCAAGAGTTTAGTTTTAGATCCTACATCGTCTTACATATTTTATTGTCTCTTATTATTTATAGAAAAAAATCTCCTTCAAATTGATTTAGGTGGACCAACTCAATTGGATCAGACCGGATGGTCGGGTCGGGGCGGATCGCTTCATTGGGCCTTAAATATAGGTACATAATTTGGTAGCAAGTAAACAATTTTTTTTAAATAAATAGTTATCTACTGCATTCATAATTTTAAAATTTTTGATCCAGATTCTAGAAATGTAATTTTCAAATTTGATATCATATAGATAGAATATTCAATAAAATCTTGTGATTTACTAAATTTAAATAATATTGTAAAAATAGTTTAAAATAAAACATCTAAATTTAAAACATAATATCCAATGGAAATATCAATATCCCCATTTAAATTTGATAATGTGAACTTCAAAAACAGTAAATTTAATAAAAGAAAAACAAAACTATTAGTAAATATTTGATCTCCATCTTCCACTTAAAAAATATGATTTGAGCCATATGATCACTGTTTCTATTTTTTATTTTCAAAACCATTGATTCTATACATAAATCCTCATAAATTTAATATGGTTAATATAATTAAGATTTCAATAAAAATCTATTTCAAAATAATGAACGCAATCTTTTTTATATGATTTTTAGCGGTTCTACTTACTTAAACATATTTGTTATTTTTTTAGTTTAATCAGTCTGATAAAATTATTGTTCTCGGAAACTTATTTAATATAATAATTTTATTTGCATTGCATTCTAATTAATATAGTTTTAAAAATCATATTCTACTTTCAAAACAAATTAAAAGAAATATAGGGTTTTGTTATTAAAAGTTGGCTAGGAGAAGTGTTTCTAAAGAGTATATTTATTAACTAACTTAAAATTTTAAAAATAAAAAATAAAATCAAAGTACAATTTTCAAATTTGATATAATTATAATTTGGCCAACGCAATAATGAATAAAATTTTGACAAATTATTAAATTTAAAAATAATTCAAAATACAAAATCTAACTGCTAACCTAAAACATAGATATACCGAATCAAAATATCTCGTAAACAGAATCCAGAGCAAAATCCAAACCATACTCAATTAAAACAGAATTCATAATTACAGTTTTACCGTCCAATTTTATGTATAAATAGGGAGTTCCAGTAGCACAGAAAACTCAAGAAAAGTGAGAGTATCCATTGAGAGTGGAAAAAATGAGTTGGTTTAGTGGAAGAATGGTTTTGTTAAACTGTGTCGTTTTGGCATTGGCTCTTGCCTTATGTTCTTCTGCCAAGGAAGTTACCTTTGATGGAAGGGCACTCATAATCGATGGAGAAAGAAAAATTATAATTTCTGGCTCCATCCATTATCCACGCAGCACTCCCGGAGTAATTTCTTTTTCTTTTTTTTTTATTGATCTCTTCGTTAAAAAAATCATTTTTTTATATATTTTATATTATTGGTTCATGATTTTTTTTATTTATTTTTTAGATGTGGCCCTCTTTGATGACGAAAGCAAAAGAGGGTGGAATTAATGCAATCGAAACTTACGTATTTTGGAATGCCCATGAGCCTCAACAAGGCCAGGTATTAATTTTGTCGTTTCATTACTAAGTAAAATTGTCAAAATAATATTTGTCTCATTTTTTTTTTCTGTTTTCAGTATGATTTTTCAGGAAACAATGATTTGGTCAAGTTTATTCAAACCATACAGCAGCAAGGGCTTCATGCTATTCTTAGAATTGGACCATATGTTTGTGCTGAGTGGAACTATGGGTAAATTTAAATTTCTTTTTTCTTTTTCTTTTTAATTTGTATTTATTATATTTTTAATCAAATTTTCATTAAAAAATAATATATTTATTTGCAGAGGGTTCCCCGTTTGGCTGCATAACATTCCGGGCATCCAGTTCAGGACCAAGAATGATATTTTCATGGTGCGTTTGTAATAATATAAATTTTTTTTTAATTTTAGTAGCCATATAAAGAAAATAATAAATAATGATTTATTTTGATCAGGCTGAGATGCAAAAATTCACGACATTAATAGTAAACAAGATGAAGGATAATAAGCTATTTGCTTCCCAAGGAGGACCCATCATCCTTGCCCAGGTCTTTTTTCCTTTAAATTTATTCATTGTTAAAATAATTTTAGTTTTTTTTTTAATAAAAATATTACTGATTCATTGAAATTATAATTAGATTGAAAATGAGTATGGAAATATCAAAGGCTCCTACGGAGAGGCTGGAAATGAATATGTGAAATGGTGTGCTGAGCTGGCACAATCATACAACGTCAGCGTTCCTTGGGTGATGTGTCAAGAAGGCGATGCTCCTCAGCCCATGGTATGCATTTACCATAATGCCCCTTTCCTAGTTTCCTTTTTTCTTCTCTTATTTATTTATTTTATTTCATTTTTTAATTATATTATATTTTAACTTTTTGGTTGACACTGACAGATAAATACGTGCAATGGCTTTTACTGTGACCAATTCAGACCCAACAACAAAAATAGTCCCAAAATCTGGACTGAGAATTGGACTGGCTGGTTTGTTTTTACTACTTCTACTTCTTATATTTTATTTTCTCCCAAAATAAAAAAGAAATAAAAATAACATACTAATAATTGGGGAAATTAATTAAAAGGTTCAAGAATTGGGGATCAAGAGATCCATTGAGAACAGCTGAGGACCTTGCATTTGCTGTTGGACGTTTCTTCCAATATGGTGGCTCCTTACAAAATTACTACATGGTAATTAGTAACATTACCCTAAAACTAATTTCTCTTTAATTTCAATTTCCCATTCTTATTTTTAACCCGTTTTAATTTCTTTTCTAATTAGTATCATGGCGGGACAAACTTTGGTAGAACTTCAGGAGGTCCATACATCACCACGTCTTATGATTACAATGCACCTCTAGACGAATATGGTATATTTCACTCTTATGATTAAAAATTTTACTTTTGGAACTCTACCCATTTAATAAAAATGTGATCTTGATTTAAATATGTTGTTGGTTTAGGGAATATACACCAGCCAAAGTGGGGGCATTTGAAGGAACTTCATCATCATTTGATGTCTATGGAGAAAGTTTTGACCTGTGGTGATGTAAAACACACAGAATATGGCCATTTGACAACAGTGAGTATCTCTCTATAAAAGACTCTCTATTATTTTTCAAAAAATAACCGACTGTCACCTAAATTTGTCACAGGCAACAGAATACACCTTCAACGGGAAGTCGAGTTGCTTCTTTGGAAACGCAGAAAATGGTGACAGGGATATCATCTTCCGAAACAGAACCTACACTGTTCCTGGTTGGTCTGTCACCATTCTCCCTGACTGCGAAACTGAAGCTTACAACACTGCATGGGTAAAATAAATCATTTCATCTCTTTCCCAAGCTTTAGATATACAACTTGTTAGTAATGTGACTGAGGAGTTGTTTGTTACTGTCAGGTAAATACTCAAACAACACTAAGGGAGATGAAATCAAGCAGTGTCGCAAAGGTAAAAAAAGCATTAACATGGGAATGGAGGAACGAGAAAATAGAAAACATGTTACATGGTGAAGTTGATGGGAGTGTTCTCACTGCCAATCGCCTTCTTGATCAAAAGTTGGTCACAAATGATACCAGTGATTACTTGTGGTTATTCACAGGGTAATTTTATCTTAACCCTTCCCTTTCTGTTTCTTTTTACCCTCTTTATCTTCTACTTATAATTGTTCTCCCCATGGCCCCATTTCAGTTTCCATCTTATGGGATCCGACCCACTATTTAACAAAAAACATATCAAATTGCGAGTTCAGACCCGTGGCCATATACTTCATGCATTTGTCAACAATCATCACATTGGTAAATTCACTATTTCTGTAATCATCTATATATTAGAAAAATATCGGATTTACGCGATAAGATTTTGACTTGTCAACTTGCTCCGTAATTCAATTTCAGGTTCACAGTATGCTCGAAATGGCAAATATGATTTCACATTTGAGAAGCAAGTGAGGAATCTAATGCATGGATCCAACCAAATTGTCCTATTGAGTGCCACAGTTGGATTACCTGTAAGTACATACAAATTAAATTAAATTTGAAAGAAACCCTTTTGATGTTGACTAAAACATATGGAAATTTTGATTCGATAATACAGAACTATGGAGCACACTTTGAGAATTCTGAAGTAGGAGTTCATGGCCCAGTTGAATTGATTGCTGATGGAGAAACAGTGAGAGATTTGTCAAACAACGAGTGGTTTTATAAGGTTGGTTTGGATGGTGAAAGATATAACTTTTTCGATCCTAATCATCAATTCAGAAAGCCGTGGTTGTCTGACAACCTTCCATTAAATCAGAATTTCACTTGGTATAAGGTACTAAGTTCTCCTCTTTTCCCTCTTTGCTGTAAATTTAAAAGTTTTGGAGTTAGTATAACATGTTTGTAAATTTATTATTGCTTGTTGGTATAGACCACTTTCCCAACTCCTAAAGGACGTGAAGCAGTGGTGGTGGATTTGCTAGGCATGGGGAAGGGCCATGCTTGGGTTAATGGAAAGAGCATTGGAAGATATTGGCCAAGTTATCTAGCAAATGAAAATGGCTGCTCCTCAAACTGTGACTTCCATGGGGCTTACTACGATAGCAAGTGTGTCACTAACTGCGGAAAGCCTAGTCAAAGATGGTATATGTTTACGGTTTTTCTGAACAGTATTAAATTTGACTTTTCCTCTTCAACATACTAAACAGCTTATGTAATATCCTAGAATCGTCTTTTATTCATAAGTGAAAGTAGAGTCGTAACTATGGCTGTTCGAAAATTTAGGTACCACATCCCACGTTCATACTTAAAGAACACTGGAGACAACACACTAGTTTTGTTCGAAGAGTTTGGTGGGGGGCCATTGGACATAGATATCCAGACAACACGGGTGAGAAAAGTCTGTGCAAAGCCTTATGAAGGAAGCACACTGGAGTTGTCATGCCATGATAGAACCATCTCTGACATCAAGTTTGTGAGCTTCGGGAACCCCCGTGGCAGTTGTGAGAATTTCCAGAAGGGTAGCTGCGACTCCTCCACTGCCTTTTCAGTGATAAAAAAGGTAGAGGAAGAGAAGATTTCCCATCTCCTATTTGTTAAATGGTTGACATTCTTTGGGCTTTGTATTTTTGTGGGTTTTTTATGGGTTGTTTTTCTCTTGAATTGCAGGCATGTCTCGGAAAAAGGAAATGTTCCATTGAAGTTTCAAAAAGTTATCTTGGACTAACTGGTTGCAAGAAGAAACCGAATCGGCTCGCAGTTGAAGTTACCTGTTAGGATTTTCCTGTTTTCTTAGGTTTTTAGCTTGAATACAACTTTCCCTGTTTTTTTGGTTTTTAGATTTGGTACAAATGTCCCTGTTTTTTTAGATTTTTAGATTTGGTACAACTTTCCCTATTCTTTGGTTGTTGTTTCCCCTTATGTTAATAATAACTTCTTTCTTTCCTTCAGTATCCTCTCTTCTCTCTGTCCCCCACCCCCCAATTTCATGACTCAGTTTCACAGTTGAAAGGAATACTTGATTCAACAACATAAAAGCATCATTACTAAATACCATAAATCAGCACATTTACAACAGAAGCTACTCTATTCAAACGCATTGATGCAGTTTCTCCTAAAAAAGAATATAATAATTTCATAAGATTCCAAGTATGAAGATCTATGATTATATATATGATGATTTATCAAAAGTGAAAAATAGTTACCAGTAACCTTTACATGAGCATTTGCCATTTGCAAAGCAATGAAACCCGGAAGTATCCCTCAGAAATATTTTCCTTCTGGTGATCATCGAAACATATTTCAAGAAGGTATGACAATCCCCACACAAAAGGACATTCTTCACAATTCGGATTGGCTTTCCCGGCTTGCTCATTAGAATCCCGAAAGTTGCTGCAAGTTTTCCACTGTGATAGAACAAGAATTCTTTCTTTTGGTGTTCCTCTACTTCTTGAAGAACAAAACTCGTGTTGGGGACATAACCAACTTTTAAGCACTCCAAGATTAGTATATTCAGTCCACTGTAAATGTCTTTTTCCCGGGGATGAGACTTGTCTCTGGTGTAAAATGAATGGATTTTGTTCTCATGAACGATCCAGCTCTGACTTGGGTGTTTCCGGAACCCTTTCTCACGCATCTCCTCTCTCACCTTTTCGGAATAATGCCATCTCCCTGATGCAGAGTATAGATTCGATTTAAGTATGTAAGTAAATGGATCTTTTGGTTCCATTGCCAGTATGCATTTTCCAGCCAGTGTTTCCATCCTTTCATTTTTATGGAATCTACAACTATCAAGCAAAGCACGCCAGACGCAAACATCTGGTTTGAAAGGCATCTTCCTGATTGTTTCTTCAGCTTCTTCAAGAAGACCCCAACGACCCAAAACACTGACAAAGGAGGCATAATGCTCTGAAGTCGGTTTGATATTGTATTTAGTTTCCATAGAGACAAATAAACCACGACAGCTATCAACTAAATTCAATTCTGTGTGTTTGTAAGCTGAAATTATCAAAACAAATGTAATATCGTCAGGTTTTATTCCTGTTTTGTCCATCTTCTTCCAGATTTCCAAGGCTTTATCACCCTGCCTATGAAGCAGATGTCCAGCAACTAAACTATTCCAGGAAACTATGTCTTGTGCATTCATTGTATTGAATACTCGGACGGCATCATCCATATTCCAACACTTCGAGTACATGCTAACTGTCGCATTAACTACCCCTATATCAGTTATAAGACCCGATTTAAGAGAATGACAATGCATTTGCTTTCCCATCTCATGAAAGCCTATACTTCCACAAAGAGAAAGTATTGATGTTGACACAACTTCATCCATAACAATAGCTCCTTCAGATTGACCAGAGTGAAAGAGAGAGATTGCTTCATTTAGTTGTCCGCTTCGAGCATACCTACAAATCATGGATGTCAGCATTGCAGTGCAGTCATTCTCTAATGAACGCTGATGAAACATCTTCTTGGCATCCTCCATCCTCCCACACCTCGTGTACATGTCAACCAATGCTGTTTCAATGCAATAATTTGACAAAATACCAAACTTGATGATGAAGCCTTGAATCTGCTGACTAACTTTAAAATTCTCGAGCAACCCACAAACATTGATGATGCTAGTCAAGGTGTAATCAGATATTTCCATGCCCTCCTCCAACATTTCAATGAAAAGTTCCAGTGCTCTTGACCATTCTCCGTTCTTAGAAAGTCCTGCCAAAACTGCATTATAAGAGACATAATTCCTCTCCGGCATCTTATTAAAGGCTTCGACTGCCAAATCCAACTTTCCAAATTCCATGTACGACGTAATCATTCCTGTCCAAGTAATAACATCTCTTATTGGCATTGCCTCAAACAGAGCCATTACATCATTCACTCTCCCACATTTAGTATAGAATCCAATCAGCGCATTGCTGACACTCAAATGAGACTCCAACCCGACCTTCAAAGCAAGAGCGTGAAGTTGTTGGCCTTTCAATGTCATAACACTGCCGGCAGAGGCAGTCAAGAGAGTAGAAAGAGAGAAATGATCCACTCTGAGCCCATAACTCCTCTGCATACCACGAAAATAATCGAACGCTTCATCGTACCTGAACTCCTTCACCACACTCGAGATGACAGTATTCCAAGAAGTGATGTCTCTCTCAAGCATTTCGTCGAACAATCTAAGTACAAGTTCCAAAAACCCACACTCACTATAGAATCCCATAAGTGCATTGCAAATGAAAACACAACTCATGTACCCCAATTTGATGACAATGCCATGAACTTGAGAACCTAACTGATAATCCATGTTTCGACTGCAAGCGGTCAAAATCGCTACAAAAGTATATTCGTTTGGCTCAATGCCTGAGTCCAACATCGCAAAGAAAAGCTCAACAGCATCATCTTCCCGGTTCGACTTAGAAAACCCAGAAATCAACGCCGTGTAAGACACCACATTGGGACAAAAAAGGCCAGAAAAGACTCTATCAGCATCTCGAACGAGCCCCAACCTGAGATAAGCCGAAAATAGAGCATTACCCAGATAGATATCTTCGTCGAGCTTAAGAAAGCGAGCATGAACAGCCCTGGCGAGGTCAGCGTCACCGTAGCGAGTGGATAGGCGAAGCAAATTGAAGCCGGACGTAATCGGAGAGAGAGAGTTATCCACAGGGCGTGAAGCGAAAAGGGATTCAGAATTAGACACTGCGGATTGAGGGAATGTAAGGTATTGGGTCGGAGAGGTGGAATTGAATAGGCCGTGACAGGGCTTTGAACTAGAGAGCGAGAGAGAAGTTGTGGATAAAAGTGGCGGTGCCGTTGAAGGTGAAGGACTGGTGGGCATAGAAGGAAACCGAAACAAAATTCTGGGAGGCAGAAGAGAAACTGCAAAAATGGCGTTTGCAGTGTGTGGAACAATGGCTGCCATGCCATTCATCCAAAAGCGCCAACCTCAACCATAACTGATAAATTCTTCTTCCTCTTTAGTTCCCAAATGTTGGGTTTTGATAATCTAAACTAAAAGCTAACTCAATTCATATAATGAAAGACTAAAAGCCAAAAGAATATAATTGCATTCTATTTCTGCCTTCCTTCTTCCACTCTATTTTCAAGAAAAACTGAGAACTCTTATCCACATCTAAGCTCCACTGGTTATGTGGATTTGGTTGGTTTTATATATTTAATAGATAATTATTGTAAATTTTTATTCTTTTCCTTCTCTATATAGGAGTTGATAGTTTCATTAGGAATCTATCTTTCTTTCACTGTCGTTTTAGATTGTTAATTCTAAAATTAATAATATCTTTATTTTTTATTTTTTACTTCTGGATTCGAACCTGGATTTTGAGTGTCAGTACCCAAAAGTATTACTAATGTCTTTATTAGTTCAATCACCCCTCTCCCTTAGTTTAATATTGTAAAAAATTTCATGTAATATTGATATTGTTTAATCACTCCATCTCAGTGAAGTTGATAAATATTTGATATGTTTTAGATTTTCTATTAGAAATTGGAATTATGAGATTTAATATGATTTATGATTTTGATATGATTTAAGTTTCTTATTAAGAATTGGAATTACATTTGATTTAAATATTATTCTAAATCTACCCATTATGATTAGGAATCATTATAATGGGAGTATTTTATTTTCTTACTAAAATTTATCCATATTTGATAAGATTATATAAATCATATCACCATTCTGAAACAATTTTGAGCAAAAACTTAGAGCATAGAGTAAGATGCATAAAGTTTTTTGATTATTATTTTAAATCTTTTACATATTCTAAGTCAAATATGATTGAATTTTGTAATGCAATTGAAAATGAGATTAGACTCAGGATGGAAGGAAGACTGAAAAGAGAAGGCAGAACTCAAGACTTGTTTTATATGATCTTGTTATCATCTTTCAAGCTCTAATGTTGCAATTCCTTTTGTTATGTAGGTTTGAAAAAATACTAATGAAAAAAAAGAAATAGGCGTTTTTTCAGAATGTGGACGATCACATTTCGAAAGAATGTGTTCGAAGATATAACTGATCTCAAGTTTTGATTTTCCCAAGAGCCTCATCCATTAGTATTAGTTTTTCATCTCATGTTGTTCAATTCCTATTCTCTCTTCCTCACATGTTTTGTGCTATGAGATCCAATATGGGATTTGAGTCTAACGATCAGAGCATTTCAAACACACAAAGAGACTGTTTGATAAGAGTTGGAACGAAGGCAAGGTGTTTGATAAAATGTGTATTAGAAGAATTGCAAATTCTGATAGAAGTAACACTTTCAGATGAGGGCGAATCCCTGAGAAATTAAGTCCCCAGCCAAGACTTGGTTTGCAGATTCGGTCGGATGGAAACCGTCCCAGAAAACGTAGCCTGTGGCATTCGAGCATGTTCCGATTGATCCACTGTTGCAGAGGAGGGAGGTCTCCACTGTGCCTGTTCCACAGCAAGCCCTTCTTGACTCAAAAAACCCTGTCACATGATTCAAAGTTCCAACTGGAAGGTCAGTTTCCATCTAAGAATGAGTCCTTTTTTAATCTTTTCATCTGCATTGTGATTTCTGATGAAAATTATAAGATGTGGTGGAAATAATATTATCTGAGAGAGAAGGAAAAATCATCAAAAGTCTCCACCAACAACAACACAGAATCATCTCAATCAGAATAGCAGTCAATAACATAAAGAGGTATATGAAACTTTGAAGGTTTGCATTTGCATATTCTTTCATTTAAGTTCCGTGTAAAGCTATTTAAGGAGGATTTGTACCATTTTCTGCAGGCTTTGAGATCATATTCAGAAGAGGTTGATATATATCAAAGACAACAAGCTTGAGATCAGAGAATTTGTTCTGCAAACTCTGAGATGTGCTTTTTAGCTTAGTGTTGAACGCTATGGCATCTTGGTTTAACCTTTGGATGCATTGGTTGCTACCAGAACAAAAGAGGGTGATGGCTGCTGGCAAGCAACCCAATGGAGGTAAACCTGTCACCCCTATTCTCCTTGCTCCCAGTCCATATAGGTTCTGACATAGTGAAGATCATGATGTGAATGGTACTTCTAGTTTTCAAGGAAAGAAAGGCAGAAATATTACTTAACAAATCGATTAAGTTTTTATAATCAAAACAACCGTCCAATGCAGCGGTAATTGATGTAAAAAACCCTCATAGGATATAACCTTGTTAATTGGTCATCATGGCTTGTACCAGTGAGCTAGTAACTTAGTCAACATGAGATGGTCCAAAAATATGTAAAATTTAAGGAACCTTTTGGTATTTGTTCTTAGTCTATTCAAGTAGCATTATATGTCTGCAAATAAGAAGAAATAGAGAGAGAAACTGGGAAACCTGAATGAAGGTTGAGTAAGATGTAATGAGAATGTCAGAGAACTGTGCTGGTGAGTATGTTCTGTAAAGAAGAGGATTAACGTAGTAATTTTGAATGAAATCACTGCTCCCTGCACTGAGAAGGTGAATTGCACCAGAGAATATGGAATTGCCTTTCCCTCTTCCCACCATGTTTACAACTTTGTTCTGATATTCCTTGTAGTAATTTAACTGCTGGGTTAGTGAAATTGCATGCTGCAAAACCAGTGCATCACGATACATTAAGCATTAGATCTAAACACTTTTCCTTGTGCGTTAGCTTGGATATTAGCACAAGGATGAACACACAGAAGTCATTACATAAAACAGAGAGGAAATAACATTATAGTAGTCCTAAAAGCTTAGAGGTTTATGTGTTTTAGAGAGGGGGTGAGAGATGATTGGTTACATAGAGTTGAGCAGTGCCATCATAAAAGCCAGAAGCAGCAGAAGCAAAGTTGGCTCCTGTTAAAAGCCTGTTTCCCGTGGCATCTTGGCTCAGATAAGCAGGTGGGTATGAAGAAAATCCAAGGGATTCGGCTGTGCATCAAACAGAAACAAGCTCGTCGGAGAAGACGAAGACGAATACCGAAAAGAAAATATCAAGAAGAAGATGGAAACATACCAGTAAAATCAGTGGCAAGCTTTCCATTGCAAAACCTCCCTGTTGGTGTGTGAGTAACGAAGTCTCTTCCATAAGGAGGAAAGTTGGCCTTGACAACTGTTAGAAGGTTGTTGTTATTTCCGACGTCAACCACCGAGTCCCCGAAGATGCAGAGTGCAGGGACAAGAGGGTCACCGGTAGCTACCGGAATAACCAAAGCTAGAAGGCTGAAGGGAATCCAGAAGGCAGCGGCCCCGGCATCGGGAGGAAGCTGCATCTTTCTTTCTAATGCCAAAATGGTGAAGCCTTTTGGTTTTGGCAAGAGAGGAAGAAGAAGGGAGAGTGAATGAAGATGCAGAGGGCAGGTGGGAGAGAATTTATGAACAAATTTTGCTTCTGGGAGCATTGGTCAAATTGCCATAACTCTCTCTTTGCATGGCTTTGCTCATTTCCCCAAGGAGAGGCATGTTTGGCATGGCACCACCTTAGATTTTTGAAGTCCTTTTCAGAAACAAAAAGTTTTTATTATTGTTTTGTAAGAATTATGAAGACTTGTAAAGATTAAAGGGAGGGCATTAACGTTATATTATCTTTGTTTGGAATTGGTAGGAAGCCAAATAAATGCTGAAATGAATTTAAAAGAGTACTTTTTGCTGCAAAAACTTATCTTCTGCAACTTTTCTTACACCTTCATGGAAGAACCTGTCAAATGGAGTAAATGGGATTCTGCAACTTTCAAATTTCCTTATTAATTGAGGTTTCAGGAAATTGAAGAAAAATGTCATAGAAACTCAAATTTATTAATATATTACAAACACACTCATAAACTCGTGTTGCATGAATTTTTTGAACATTTATGGACACCATTTTAGAAGCATTTAGAAATAGAAAATGTAAAAAATTGTAATCAAGTTTCAAGTGTCTGTAAATGAGTAGGCTGTGGAGTAGAATTTGTTTATTTATTATTTAAATTATATTTATCAGTCAAGGGCACAATTATTCTTGACACCACTTTAGAAGCATTTAAATTGTAAAAATAAAAAAATGTAAATTTTTTTAACTTGTAATCATATTTCAATGTTGAGTGTGCAACATGAATTTAACTTTGACGATAATCGATAATTATCTCTGACCAAAAAATTATGAATTCAAATCTTTCCATCCACTTGTTCAAAAAATTATGAATTCAAATCTTTCCATCCACTTGTTGTATTATAGGTTGCGGAATAAAATTCGTAAAAATTAATTAGAAAACCTATCCATTTATTATTTAAATTACAATAAATATTTTATTAATTAAGTTAACCTTTTTCTTTTCCTTCATATTCTCTCCTTTTTTTTGGCCCTCAAAATAATCTCCACAAAATACTTTTAGATAATGCTCCTAGGCTATTGGACGAGCCACTAGACTTGGTACTCGTTTACATAATTTTCACTCAGAATTATGAATTTTTGAATTATTTCCGCTAAAACAGAATAGTTCCACCTGCTCAAAATTGGAGAGTGATTCTTGCTGAGACTTGTAGTCTTGCTACACTACACGACACGAGTGTACAATCATCAAATCATCAAAAGTTACTACTGTTTCATTCATAAAAACATATATGGATAACTGGCAATTGTGTCCAATCCAGATATATATGATTTCACTACTAAACTCCATATTATTACTAACTTCCATCATCATTCATTGGATTGATCAGATTCATACAAATCAAACAGAGATATTCCAACATCATCCCAACATGAAGAAGATACTACTTATAACCCCACCCCTGATTGTGTAAGCAGATAACAATAAGCTGATCAGGCGTTACAAAATTCCAAAGGTAAAGGAAACTTGGTAGCTTTAAAGGATGCCATGTCTCTAATACTATGTACAAGATTTGAGTACCCGCTTTTCTCACTTCGCTCAACTCGTGGATAGTGGACGTTTAAACTGCGAAAGGAACAACAAGGGCTGGTCTATGAGTGCATTAGAAGTTGGAAGACACCATCATCAGTTACCACAATGTAATCGTACCCGACCCTCCTAGCACGTTCGTGAAATTCACCCATTTCCGATTTATCAATCTGAAACCCAACTAATATGTTTGCACCAGTTTCACCCTGTTAAAGAAGAAAACATTTGATACATCAGCCATTGGAATTATGGAAGGTTCTTGAGGACCGTCTTCATAATTAAAGTAATTAAAAAGCCAACAACTCGGTTTCAAACCTGCCCACGATAGTGAAATAAACTAATGTTCCAGCGAGGACTGAAAGCATCTAAGAACTTCTCTAGAGCACCGGGCCTTTCTGGGAAAATAAATCGACAAAGAACTTCGTTTTCAACATTTGATTTGCCTCCCATCTGAAAAGAGCAATGTGTTCATTGGAAGAGACATGGAAGATGTATTTTGGCCCACATGTGAATTGAGAGTCTCTCAAGCAAAAATAATTTCTAATATCTGACAGAGTTAAAGCTCAATGTGAACATGCTCATACTCATAAATGACGAATTGGAACATAGTTTGGTCTCCAACAGTAATACATACAATTAATGTAAAAGACAAGATCTTGATTCTTGAGTAAAACAAGGTTAGGATTTCAGACCAACCATGATTAGATCTCCAAATCACAACTGAAAAAATAAAAATCGACTAGTATGACTATTCTAGATCATGAATTTCCTATCTACTGAATACTTGGACCATGCCCAAAAAAGCAGTCAGAGCCCCCTCCCTCCCTCCCTGAGGCTAACTACTTTACTGATCCAAGGTCGAACCGATTTTGATAACTTAAATGAATAAATTCCCACCCAAAACTGTTTCAATCGTCCTTTTTAATTAGCACAATCTTCGTAGTAACAAGCTTCTATGGTTGTTTTCTTGTATTTAGAAATCCTCTACCCTCTCTATATTCGTATGCAAATATAAGATGTCGCAAATAATAAAGATGAAAATGAGAAATAGAGAGCTACGAAAAAGCAATGTTGAGAAGGAGCATAACTATACTATTTAAAGCAGTTGTTGTAGGTATTTGCGCAATTAATTAGGAAAAAAAATATTTACCAAGTAACGTAAGTGATCCTTGACAAGATCATTATTTGTGAGATTATAAGTTTCAAGTTGAGAAGACTTCATTCGCTTCTTCATTTCTTCGAGTTCTGAAGGCATATGCATTCCAACACTGCAAAGCACAATAATGAAAAATATATTAAATTATTGCTCCCTTTTTGATACTCGACATACCATTGAAAAAAAAAAAGACAACTTCAGAAAATAAAACTGAAACCATTCAAAATCCCATCATTAAAAGAAACTTGATTTCTCCAATATAACTTGATTTCTCCTAACATTATTTTTTATAACACCTAACAACTGCCTTTAAGAAACAGAGAAGCAATAATCCAAGAAGCCAAAGAGAGGCAAACCCAACCAACCAGAAGCCAAAAATAAGGAGAGAACCCACAACCACGACCAGAATCAGCACTCGTGAACCAACTTTGCAAGTATCAAGAAGAAAACCCCAAAAGCTTCAATACCTACGGCAAAAACTCCCCCCTTTTCTTTTCTTTACTACCCTTATCAAATCACTCTTTTTATCACTAAATTTTCTATTTTTACCCTTTTGAAGCTTCTGTTTGTCTTCTGTTTCAGATGAAATTGGAATCAACCAAGCTACTGAAAAACTAAAAAAGTTCTAATTCAAATTGGCTATAATTTCGACAAGAACTTACCTATAAAGAACAACAGCCTCTTTTTCAGAGTTATATCTGTACTTAAATTCTGTAATGTTCATAGGCCCAACCTGCAAATCCAAACTTACCCAGTTAACATTTTAATGTCTGTGATTATTGACCAAGAAGGACTTTTAACGAGAAAAATCTGTAAGACTAAAATGAACAAACCAGTTCACAAAATCTTTTGAAGCTTCCAGGTTTCTCTGGCACTATAGTTGCAAGCACAGCCTCTCGTTCACGACCAACATTGGCAAGTTCAGTAACTATTCTTAGCTTGTCAAAGTTCATATTTGCACCACTGGTTATTGCCACAACATTTTCTCCCTTCAAGCCATAATATTTGCAGTATGCCTCAGCCCCAGCAAGAGAAAGAGCACCTGCAGGTTCCAAGATACTCCTCTTCTCCTCGAACATATCCTATGATGTGAGAACAAATATAGTAGACCACCAGCTCAAACAACAGCTTGAAGTATATTGAAGATGAGTTCCACAAGCAAAACCATATCATTCTTATCCAAGTGCCATTGAAAGGAGAAAACAAAAATACTGTGTCATATTTTGAACAGGTGTTCGTACTAGGTGTCAGACTGTAAATATTAGCAATTACCTTCATATCTACTTTCCCTAATGTTTATTCAGTTGAATCTTCACTGTGATCCGTTCTAAGGAATTATAGGGGTTGGCTAGGAACCTTTATATGGTTCCATACAAACGTACATGAAACAAGTAACAACAATATGTAGTTACAATATTTTTTGGACATGGAAAGTTTGTTGCAAATAAAAAACATGAAACAACTGACAAGAGTTTTCTGGAGATTAAAATCATGCAATCAACCAGTACATCCATAAAAGTTCAAGAGTAAAGTCAACCTTGTACCTACTTCCAATTAATTCAAACTAAATTTATGGAACATGCTAATCAATTCCATAGGAAATGAGATCCATCCCTTTTATGTTATAAGATAACAGAATGTACGTGCATTAAGGACAGAAAATAAAAGAAGCCCAAACCTTTATTGAGGCACATATAGCATCACGACTAACAAGAACTACACCATCCATGAGTTCTTTGCAAAGGCGAAAGGTCTCTTCCCCGACTTCTTTAACCGCTACACCATCTGCAAAACCACCAGCCTTGTCTAATATTACTCTTTCGCCATGACACAATGATAATGCCATAGCATTTGCATCAGATGGCTCCACCCCAATAATCTTTACCTGCACGAAAGATGTAAAATATAAGGTCAATTAAAAATTAATATTTCTATTACAGTTAATACTTCAACCCTAGTTCCTCAGAGGAACCAAGAGATATATTAAGGAATATTGAACTAAATACTTCATCCCATACAAGATTTAATAAAAAACCTGTGGTCAATCCAAGAGTGCTGGGTTAACACAAACATACAGGTTAGATAAAGGAATGAAATGTAAGACACCTATTTGATGCACACAAGGATAAGTTGGGTTAATATGGAGTCATTGACCTTTACTTCTTTTCTCTCTTCTTAGGATCCAAGCTACAATAGCCAAGGAGGTTATTGAGCCGCAGAGGCACAATCATTTTATAAACTGGAATGTAGGTTTTTTAAACAGAGAAGCAGAAGGCCTCAAATAGGTGAATTTGATATTGAGGAATATAGCTTTGTCTTAAAATGGTGCGCGAATTTCCAATGAAAGACTCAATTCAATTATCACTGGCAAGGATGTAGGCTAAGAGTTGGTTTCTCAAATAAATAAATGTGCCTCTTATAAAGGTAACCTCGAGCATTTTTTTTCTCTTGTAAAGTATGCACTCACCCCAAGGCCGAGAGACTCTGAAGACATCAAGAGTTTTCCTTATTAATCTCACTCGAAGATTCAAACATGCAACCTTTAGGTAGGTGTTACTTAGAGACCACGTGCCTTAGCCAATGGGGCTACCCTTGGGGCTTAAAGATAACCTCTAACATTAGGCTTAAAGGTAACCTCTAGCATTAGACTTATGAAATATGGAAATTTTGAAGTTAAAAAATTAAGCAGCACTGGGTTGCTTAAATAGTGTTTATAAAGCTCAAAAATGAGAAACCAACAGACCTCAGGAGAAACCCTCTTGACATAAGCGGCAATACCAGCTATTAGACCACCACCCCCAACTGGAACAAAAATTGCATGCAATGTGCCCTTCGATTTCATTTCCAAAAATTGACGCACAATTTCCATCCCAACGGTACCCTGCCCGATTATAACATCCGGGTGATCAAAAGGAGGTACAAATGTACGACCTTCCTCTTTGCTCCGCTTTTTAGCATATGCCTGTGCCTCGTCATAAGAATCTCCGACAAGAACAACAGTTGCACCCAATTTCTGAACTGACTGCCACTGTAACGTTAGAAGTTCACATTTTCATTAGCAAACTAACATCGGTTATCTGCACGAAACGAACACCTGGAGAAGGTGGGAGGGAATGAAAGAACCTATACTATAGCTGAAGAAATTAGTGCACCTTAATTTCAGGTGTAGTAACAGGCATAGCAATCACAGCATCACATCCTAATTGCTTAGCAGCTAATGCAACCCCTTGAGCATGATTTCCAGCTGATGAGCAGATAACCCCCTTTTTCAACTGTTCTTTTGGAAGTCTGGCCATCATATTATAAGCTCCTCGAAGCTTGAATGAGAACACCTACAAATCCCAAAATATCAAAACCACGATTATTTAGTTAAATCAACCATTCACATATATCATCGAATGTTAAAGCTCAACCCATCACCAAAAGAAGCCGTCTTCATTGGATGTTGAAACCAAGAAGCCAACACCACAGCATGCATTGGCCAATCTTACGCTAAATTACATTGTAAGAAACAATCAGTCATCCAAACAACAACTTGAATCAAACACATGGCTATGTGTACTAGTTGACTCAGAATCCTTGAACAAATGAGATTTATTAATCTAGTTTAGCTCCCAAAGCTACCCAAGTTTTCAAAATGATCAATTAATCCAAAGCAAAAAGGAATTATAAACACCAAAAATTAGCTGACCGGCTGCAAGTCCTCCCTCTTGAGCCAGATATTGACCCCCAAACGCTCGGACAACTTGGGCGCGAGCTGCAACGGCGACTCAATAGCCACATCGTAGACTTGCGAAGAAATAATACTGGTCAAATACTGCATCGCGTTGAGGCTATCCTCGGCATCAGAACCCGAACGGTCGGGAACG